CCCGGCGCGAGGTGGGGTGGTAAAACTGCCAGCCAGGCGCGTCAGGGACAAAGCCAAGGAAGACACAGGGAAGCGTGCGGGAGGAGAGCTTGTCCGCGGACGTATCGCGGACAAGGGCACGAGCACCCCACACCCGGAAGCGCGACGCATCGCCAACCTCCCCCGTCCAACGCAGTGTGGGCGAGGTCTCCGGCAAGGAGACATGGGGCCAGAGGTTGAGCTGATGCGCGGCGTACCGGACAGCAAACGGCCACAGAAAATGGGGAGCCGCCGCGTGGACCAAGGAGGTACGAGCGACCTCCATGACCAGGCCAATGCGGCGCTCAGCAACCCCATTCTGCTGTGGGGAGTCCGGAAGCGTGAAGGTCTGCTCAATGCCCTCCGCCTGACAGAAGGTCCTCAAGAGGTCGGAGGAAAACTCACCACCTCTGTCAGAGTGCAGACGCAGGACAGGAAGATCCGTCCGGAAACGGCGGCGGAGCTGGAGACAAACTGTGCGGATCCAAGGGATCAGAACAGCAGGGACCTCACCCTTGGTGCGCAAGGGGAAGACCGTGGTGTAACGCGAGTAGTCGTCGACGACCAGCAAAAAGTACCGCTCACCGCCCTGACCACGAACGCGGGCTGGGCCCCACACGTCCAGGTGGAGGGTCTGCAGAGGAGCCTCTGTCGGGGGGAACGAGGAGGAGTGAGGAGCGGCGCGCTGCCGCCCCTCGACGCAAGGAAGGCAAGGCGGCGCAGGCGAGGCAGGGAGGGGAGGGAGGGACCTGGGAAGACCAGACACAAGGAGGCGACGGTGCATGCCACGGAGGCGTGGCAAGGAGGGGTGACCTAGGCGGTGGTGCCAGAGAAGAGTCTGGTGCGACAGGGAACGACACTCACAGGCGTGGGCTACCAGACCTGACGCGGACACCTGACCGACAGCAGCGACCTGAGGAGACGCAGTGGTCAGTGTGTAGAGACTCGACCCCGGCTGACGGGTAAACGTAGCCAGGTGACGGCCGGTCCTGGAGCACGTGAGGATCGCCACACGCTGTCCTCCAAGGGTAAAGGTGTCAACCCACTGATCCTGGATGACAGCGTTGCTCACCAGGTTCGTCGAGAACGAGGGGAGGTGGAAACCCGACAACGAGCCAGACGGAACCGCTGGACACGGGAGCACAGTGGTGGACCGTGCAAGGACGGGGCCCCCAGAGGGGTCAGCCAAGGAGATTGGGACCGGTGCAGGAAGCGGTGTGAGCTCAGTACGGTCACGAAAGAAACAGCGGGAAGCACCTGAGTCAAGGGTGAAGGTGTGACAGGTCTCAGCCGGTGCAGTACCTGAGAGAGCAGTCTCTGTGGGTGCTGTACCTGAGAGAGCAGACTCACAAGCAGCAGGGACAGTACCGGAGGGAGCAGCCACAGAGGGCACCATACCAGAGAGAGCAGACTCACTAGTACCTAGGGCAGCGGGCTCTATACCTAGGTCAGGCGGCACACACAAGTAACAGTCTCCCTCGGCACTAACAGTCAATGCATACATGGCAGCAATAATAGCATCATAGTCAAGAGCAAAGATATCAACACCAGCCCTCATCAGCTCCGCCCAGCGGGGGCGCTCAACATCCTCGCCCATCTCCTCACGCCAAGCGTCGTCAAGGCGGGAGAAACAGCGGTACGGGGTGTGGAACCTCCCACACGTCTGTCCCTTGCGGTCACCTGTGCGAATGACATAGGAACAGCGGCCACTGCCCCCCGACGTCCCACGCTGAGCAAGCCACTCACGAAGCTGCTGGGTCGTCTGGGGACGCTGCTGCTGGTGGGAGCTCTGGCCCGAGCCAGTGCCTCCACTCCGACCTCCGCCGCCACCACCACCTCCGCTCCGACCGCCACCGCCGCCACCGCCACCGCCGCCACCGCCGCCGCCGCCACCACCGCCACTGCTCCCTCCGCCGCCCCCGCCTCCGCTGCCGACCCCACTCCCACCAGCACTCCCGCCACCGCTCCCTCCAGCACCGCCTCCCCCCCCACCTCCCCCACCTCCTCCCCCCCCAGCGCCACCCCCGCCACCCTTGCCCCCCTTGCCCTTGCCGGTGCGGCGCCTCCCACCAGGAGCAGAAGCAGCGCCAGCAGACTCAGCACCAAGGAAGTCAACAGCAGCAGCAGTAGCGTAGGAGGGAGCGAGGGGAGAGGGAGAACACCCCTCAAAGATGGGGGTGCGAGGAGCGCCACGAGCAGCACCGACAGCTACAATGGTCTTCTCGGCCGCTAGCAGCTTCTCCTCTAGGAGGGCGACTGTGAGCTCAGTGGGACAGCGAGCAAGGAAGTGGTCTCGAACTGAGCTGAGGGTGTCAGGGAGACGGGTGACTATGAAGTGGAGTGTCCAGTACAGTGGAGGGGGGTGAGTAGCGCAGAACTCGGTGGGAAGGGCGGCACGCAGGCGAGCATCACTAGTGCGAAGGTGGGTGATAAGATCGGCGACTGTAGTAAAGGTGGACAGGTCAGGGAACAGGTAAGGCAGCATGAGGCGGCTAAGCTCGGCTGTGGCAGGCGAGGAGTAGCGAGCAACGACAGCGTCGTACAGGGCCTTAGCGGATTTGCAGTCGCCAAAATGCTCGAGCTCAGCTAACGGCAGGTGACTGCGAATGGCTAGGCGAGCAGCTGCATCACGAGTATGCCAGTGGGAACGAACACTAAGCTCAGCTGTGGCGGGAGGGGCAGGCGCTGCACCAGACGCGTAGTCATAGAGCGACACATGCTCCTTGCTATCGCTCAGGAGGAACAGCTGCAGGTCATCTAGCCAAGTGGTGAACTGCACAGGGCGGCCCTCAATATCGAACGACAGTACGCGGATGGAAGCCATAGCGACAGTGCGACTGAGCAAAGCAAGCTGCCGCAGCGCTGCAAGCAGGGAGCTCGGTGGGGAGCGCGGCGGGCGGGCGGCGCTCTGAGCGGGCAGCGTGGCAGGTAGCGCGGCGGGCAGGCGGCGCTGCAAAGAGGCAGCGCGACGGGCTGGCGGCGCTGTGAGCGGGCAGCGCGACGGACGGGCGGCGAAGCGGGCGGCGCGGCGGGCAGGCGGCGCTGCAAGCGGGCAGCGCGGCGGGCGGGCGAAGCTGCGAGCGGGCAGCGCGGCGGGCGGGCTACGAAGCTGGCAGCGCGGTGGGCAGGCGGCGCTGCAAGCGGGCAGCGCGGCGGGCGGGCGACGCTGCGAGCGGGCAGCGCGAGCGGGTAGCGCGGCGGATGGGCGGCGCTACTGGCGGGCAGTGCGGCGGGCAGCGCGGCTGGCGACGCGCGGCGCGACGAGCAGCGCTACGGGCGGCGCGACGAGCAGCGCGGCGGGCGAGGGCGCTAACGAGGGGCGCTAACGAGGGCGCTAACGAGAGGCGCGCGAGGGCGCTAACGAGGGCGCGCGAGGGCGCTAACGAGGGCGCGCGAGGGCGCTAACGAGGGCGCACGAGGGCGCTACGAGGCTAGGGCACGGGGTAGCGTGGTAACCGCATGCGAGCGGTGGTGGGCCCTAAAAAAAAACGGTCGGTAGGTCCTAGGGACCTCCTGCTCTGAATACCATATCAACAGGACTAGGCAAGAATGATGCATTGAAAGAACAGTTGGGTACAAGTAGCTAACCCTAGTTGGGTTTGTACCCTGTATTGGCTACCCCACTACAGCCTACCCACATATAAATAACACATTACAACTTAACAATTACCGTATTACATTCTCAGATCTAATGTGAAGCATTTCTTCAAGTACATCGATAAGTTTGAAACCCTTTTGAAATTGGAAGCAGAGAGAACAAACAAACAGGAAAAGACATTAGCTCCCACCACCTAGAGCTGCAATAGCAGCGTCAGCAGCTTCAGCGGCCACAAGAAGATCAGTGGCAGCACGTTTTGCAGCTTTAACGGCCACGCTAAGATTAGTGGCAGCGCGTTTGGCAGCTTCAGCAGTGGCAGCGCGTTTGGCAGCTTGAGCAGGTGCAGCGTTGCGTGCACCAGTACGAGTACCAGCAGCAGAAGAACGAGTACGAGCACGAGTACGAGTACCACCAGTCTCACAACCAGCATCAGCAACAATGCTTGAACGAGGACCACTATTACGCAAGGTTGACGGATATTTTAAAACTCTCTGCTGAAGTGTTGGGTTTTCCGGCGTGCTAGCTTTCTTCAAAAGCCAATCATCCGTTGTCTCCTTAAGAGTACGGCAGCGCTTTCTTGAAGGAGAACCCTGACATTGCAAAAACATTAATAGTTGGGATGAAGAAGGAAAATGATATGTTCTTTTGTATGCATACATGAGGTTCTCCTGGATCTTGAGGTGCTCTTTTTGGGCTTAAGAAATCCCAGCGGTGTGAAGTCGGTTCCTGTGAAATATTACGCATAGTTAGAAGCATGCGCGAACAAAAAAATGTGATAATAATTGCATAGCTTTACATTCGCGTTTGTCTTCTCCTGGAGCTGTGCATCAGCATCCAGTTTGTTATCGAAAAACACCATGGCTAAGAGAGAATGTGAAGGATTGGTGAGGAAAGGAAGGTACCGCACGGCACGGTAGAACGACCAAATGTCCCAGGACATGCTGTTAGCTGCTGTCAACTACTTATAGCGGCGGTATACATTTGAAAGTACTGTTTGTTTTGGAACAGTACCCACCAAAAGCAAACCCAAACGAGAAGCGAATGGGCTTGGCGAGAGAATCGGCGAAAATTTGGATGGCTGATTGTTGCGAACACGAGAAAGTCTCCCGTCAACCCAAGCCCTGGAGTGACACGAACAGACCAACGGAGCGACTAATTTTTAGGAAAGGCCTTCGATACAACTATACAATAGGCAACTAGGGCGGCGAGGAACAGCGCTGGCGCTAAAGAAAAACGCTGGTGTCGAGGCGACAAGTGTCACAAGGCTGGCTCGCGAGATTACTTAGAAACCATTTCTACAAACACCTCACTCTCTCATGAATAGACTCGTTCAAAGGCCTCGCAATAGATGTAGGACTAGCCTTCGTCCTAAGCGCCGCATTCCATGCGTTCCCGTCGCCGGCGACGTTCTCGCCGAACCCGCACCTCGGTCGCCGAACCCGCAGCTCGATCGCCGAACCCGCAGCTCGATCGCCGAACCGGCAGCTCGCGACACCCTCTTAGCGCGTCACCCGCGTCTCTCCTACCCCGCTGCGCGCCTCACCGCTTAGCGCCTCACCGCTTAGTGCCTCACCGCTTAACGCCTCACCTTCCCCTTATTTCCCCCTCTACTCCCCCTCGTTCCAGCCTCTCCTTCCCCTTATTTCTTCCTCTGCTTCCCCTCGTTCCCCCCTCTCCTTCCCCTTATTTCCAACTCTACTCCCCCCTCGTTCCCCCCTCTCCTTCCCCTTGTTTCCCCCTCTGCTCCCCCTCGTTCCCCCTCTCCTTCCCCTTGTTTCCCCCTCTGCTTCCCCTCGTTTCCCCCTCTCCTTCCCCTTCTTTCCCCCTCTGCTCCCCCTCGTTCCCCCCTCTCCTTCCCCTTGTTTCCCCCTCTGCTCCCCCTCGTTCCCCCTCTCCTTCCCCTTGTTTCCCCCTCTGCTCCCCCTCGTTCCCCCCTCTCCTTCCCCTTGTTTCCCCCTCTGCTTCCCCTCGTTTCCCCCTCTCCTTCCCCTTCTTTCCCCCTCTGCTCCCCCTCGTTCCCCCCTCTCCTTCCCCTTATTTCCCCCTCTGCTCCCCCTCGTTACCCCCTCTGCTTCCCCTTATTTCCCCCTCTTCTTCCCCTCCTTTCCCCTTATGCTTCACCTCCTTCCCCCCCCTGCATGCCCTCCTTTCTCCACCTGCTTCCCCTCCTTGCCCCCCATGCTTCTCTTCGCTTCCCCCCACATCCCCTGTTTTCCCCTGCTTTCCCCCCCTTGCTTGCTCTCCTTCACCCCCATGCTTCACCTCCTTACCGCCCCTCCTTCACCTCCTTTCCCTCCCTGCTTCCCCCCTTTTCCCCCACGGCTTCCCTTCCTTTCCCCCCCTGCCTCCTCTCCTTTCCCCCCATGCTTATCCTCCCTTCCCCACCTGCTTCCCCTATTTCTCACCCTCCTTTCGCTCATTTTCCCCCTCTGCTTGCCGCAATGCCTCTCCACCCCCTTACAATCCAATCAGCTCCTTCGAGTTTGCTTATTCTCTGTCCTCCCTTTTTACCCTGCTTATGCTCCCTCCTCCCTTTGCTTACCCTCTCTCTTCCCCTCTACCCTCACCACCAGTACCGTGTTTACCGCCTTCCCTTTCCATACTGAGGGATCTCAAGTGCAGCATGGAACAAGATGGACCAGTCCTCTTCAGTCTAGGCTTGCATGTGCTCCCACTGTGTGTTGAAAGTAGTTGAATGTTACATCACAGTTCTATTGCAAATGATGTTCACATGCATCTGATATGTACCACGTGATCTGTCTTTCAGGTGTCTGTCCCCTTTCTATAAGCCATCTCTACAGCTGAAAATGAGCACAGCAATGATGTCCAAAAGGAACATTGAGTTGTATCGTATGTACACATACAATCATCTCTAAGTATACTAAACAGCACTATACTCTTCGTGTCATGTTCATGCCACGACACACTCCTGCAACATAATGCCCCTCCACACTGCCAAGCTCGCTTGGCCCAGGCGTTGTCGTGCTTGTCGCTGGAGCAGAGGGAATTGGCACACTTATATGGTGCTGACTTGGACGCAAAACCGGCAGCTTTGCATATGCATACCCGCCTGGTACGGGTTGAATGACACCTGGTGTCACAGCGGTAAGTAATGGGGCCCTATACCCATGGGAGGCAAGGCAGGGAGGTGTGATGGAAAGGCAGGGACTGTGATGGAAAGGATGGGAGGTGTGATGGAAAGGCAGGGAGGTGTGATGGAAAGGCAGGGAGGTGTGATGGAAAGGCAGGGAGGTGTGATGGAAAGGCAGGGAGGTGTGATGGAAAGGCAGGGAGGTGTGATGGAAAGGCAGGGAGGTGTGATGGAAAGGCAGGGAGGTGTGATGGAAAGGCAGGGAGGTGTGATGGAAAGGCAGGGAGGTGTGATGGAAAGGCAGGGAGGTGTGATGGAAAGGCAGGGAGGTGTGATGGAAAGGCAGGGAGGTGTGATGGAAAGGCAGGGAGGTGTGATGGAAAGGCAGGGAGGTGTGATGGAAAGGCAGGGAGGTGTGATGGAAAGGCAGGGAGGTGTGATGGAAAGGCAGGGAGGTGTGATGGAAAGGCAGGGAGGTGTGATGGAAAGGCAGGGAGGTGTGATGGAAAGGCAGGGAGGTGTGATGGAAAGGCAGGGAGGTGTGATGGAAAGGCAGGGAGGTGTGATGGAAAGGCAGGGAGGTGTGATGGAAAGGCAGGGAGGTGTGATGGAAAGGCAGGGAGGTGTGATGGAAAGGCAGGGAGGTGTGATGGAAAGGCAGGGAGGTGTGATGGAAAGGCAGGGAGGTGTGATGGCGGTGAGAATTGCAGGTTGAGTCAGAATGGCAGGACGAGTGCATGGCGAGGCATGGCGAGTGTGAGAGGGCAGACGGGCCTCGTCCCAAACCCGTGGGCGGTGGGAAGGAAAATAACATGGGGAGACATGGAGGAAAAATTGGGAGCGAGAGAGAGGGATGGGGCGATCTGGAGGAAGGAGGAAAAGGGGATGTGAAGAGCAAGAAGCAAGACAAAGCGTGGACCAGTGACAAAGGAGGGAAGAGGCACAGAGAGCGGGAGGTAGAGTGGTGGTGCTGATGAGGACAGCGCTTGAGGAGCAGTTTGAAGAGGGCGGGTTGCGGATAACAGGCCCTGGAAAAGAGAAGAGATGGGAAGGCAGGGAGAGGTGGCGGGAGGCATGAAGGGGAGATGGGAAGGCAGGGAGAGGTGGTGGGATGAGGAGATGGGGAGGGGAGATGGGGAAAAGAGGGAAATGAGGGCGTGCAGGGGGGGGAATGAAGGCGTGCAAGGGGGAAATGAGGGCGCGCAAGGGGGAAATGAAGGCGTGCAAGGGGGAAATGAGGGCGGGCAAGGGGAAAATGAGGGCGGGCAAGGGGAAAATGAGGGCGTGCAAGGGGAAAATAAGGGCGTTCGAGGGGGAGAAACGAGGGCGTGCAGGGGGGGAAACGAGGGCGTGCAAGGGGGGAAATGAAGGCGTGAAAGGGGGGGATGAGGCGTGCAAGGGGGAAATGAGGGCGTTCGAGGGGGAGAAACGAGGGCGTGCAGGGGGGGAAATAAGGGCGTGCAGGGGAAATGAGGGCGTGCTCGGAAGGGGAGTAGGCGTGGCGGGAAGGGGAGATGGCGTGGCGGGAAGGGGGGATGACGTGGCGAGAAGGGGGGATGGAGTGGCGGGAAGGGGAGATGACGTGGCGGGAAGGGGAGTTTTCGTGGCGGGAAGGGGAGATGGCGTGGCGAGAAGGGGGGATGACGTGGCGAGAAGGGGGGATGGAGTGGCGGGAAGGGGAGATGACGTGGCGGGAAGAGGAGTTTTCGTGGCGGGAAGGGGAGATGGCGTGGCGGTGGTCGCGATGGGGCCGCGTGAGGAGACGTAGAGCCCAGTCCGATGAACCCAGCTGGTAAAGAAGCATTCGTGCAGCCGCGAATGGGTATAAACCAGAACGAGGCAGCGTGGTTCGGCGAGAGGAGTCTCAATCCGGACGTCGTCCGGCGAAAGGCGAACAACGGACGGCGAACGTGAAAGGGAGGGCACGCGAGCGGCGAGCGGGAAGCAGCGGCTCACCGCGCGCGGCGAACGGCGGACGGCGAGCTAGGAGTGGAGGAAGGGATAGGATGCAGATGCTAGCGCGTCGAGGCTAAACGGGACGTTGTGGGGAGGGGAGGCGCTGTCGCTAATGGCCTCGCGGTGAGGCAGCGAGAGGAGGCGTGGGGCGGCCTTGTCTAAGGTGGCGTGGCCTAAGCGAGTGCGTAGGCGTGGCGATTTGTCCGCGCATGCGAGGAAACATCGTTACGTGGTTCAGTAACAGATGTTGTCCCTAATTCTAGCTGTTAGGTTAGAATGCTGCCTAGTCTACGCGGAATGACATACTGAAGTAGGAGTGTGTGGGCTATTCTCTCACTACCGCAGTTTCAGTTTCCTTTTGCAATTCCTAAGGTTTTGAACTGTGAGTGCGGGGAGCTGGACGTGGGGCGTTTGGGAACTCCTCCGCCTCTCAACAAGGGGGGGTTGGGGTTGTAATCGCGTAACCAGTTTTTCAAGTTCCTAAGGTTTTTGAAACCCCCGCTTGCAAAAGTATACTGTTGCTTTATAGGAACCAGAGAGGGAACGAAACAGATTCAAGAACCGACACGGTCAAATTTGTACTGCATTCAATTGGGTTCGATATATCGCATAGACAACAATTGTACTCTACCACTAACATATGTAGTCCTACAAATGTCAAACATTGTGTTTCCTCCCATTTCTCCTACTGGTTCTGCTGCCTGTCCTTGCCCCGAGAGTGGAGACTAAAAGAGGCTCCGCCCACATGTTTATGGATGGATCATAGATGCGCTCTAGTCCGAATGTGTTGAGCAACACACACCATCGATCGCTCATCCATGCTATATCTGACGGCTATGGGAAAGGAAAAGGTGAACTTGCGTCATCAGCATCACCGTAACCAATCCGGGAAAATGTTGAAAGGTTGGAATTTGAGCCGTTGGATCAAGAGTTGAACGTGTGGGTGGGATACAGTTTTGAGAGCCTGAGGTCCGCTCTGGTTCGGGATGAGCGCAATGCACCCAAGCCACTTTGCGCTCCGTCGCTCACACTTGCGTTAGTATTGCTAGCTACCGTTCTGCGCAAGTCGTTACCCCCCTCGATTCACTCTCTGCTATATTCAAGGCGATGTGTCGACGCACGTCACTTCGTCCGTACCGTGCTTACCGTCGGATTTAATCCGTCTATCAACGAAACCCTACATTTCAACCGTCCAACTTCATCCCCGTGAAATCCGTTCTCCACCTGTACACCCGCCAACCCCCTCTCCTTGGCCTCGCATTACCCGTCATTTATTCCCCTGCGATGCTCCGTTTGCGCCTTCCTTATTCTCGGTTCGCCCCTCCGCCGCTTTCCCCCTGCCTGCCTTCCCCTCGGTTTTCTTCCTGCAATGCTCCGCGAGCGCCTTTCCTATCCGCCCCTTTCTTATCCGCCTCTTCCTCCTCCCTGCCCTCCGCTCCCGTTTTCCCCCTCCCCTTCTGCTCTGTATTCTCCTCTCGCTTTCCCCTTCTCCTTGCGTTTCGTATTCGGTCTCGTTTTCTCTTCCCCGTGCCTTTTGTGTTCGCCTATAAGTTTCCCTTCCCCTTTCCTCTGTATTCGCCTCTCGTTTCTCATCCCCCTGCCCTTCCGCCTGCCCGCCGTCTCCCTCTCCCCCTTGCTCTTCGTCTCGTGCGCCTTGCGCCCCACACTCAGCGAGTCGCGCTTCTCCACGAGGCCCGTCCTGCGGCGTGCGCGCCAGGAGTCCGTTCGTTACTCGCCCAGAGCGGCTGGGAAGAGCTCCCTCCACCAGTTCCGCCCTTCATTTCATCACCGCTGTCTCGCGCTAGCGCCATCGCCATTGCCATCGCCATTGCCATCGCCATTGCCATCGCCATCGCCATAGCCATTCCAATCGCATTTCCCCCCTTCCCTCCCCCTCCAAAACATTCCCACCCTCGCCCTCGTCTCTCTACTAACCCTTTCGCCCCTGCTATCTGCGCGCAGCTGAATCATCAAGCTCTAACGGAGACGAGAGAGCACCTGATCCTCTGCCCACCTTCCCTTCCTGCCAGCCTCCCTTCCCCCCCTTCTCTGCCCGCCGCACCCCCTTGTGCTCCTCCCCCCTTCTCTGCCCGTCAGCATGTTCCAGTTTCACGTGGCGGCTTAAACACACTTTCGCCCAGGGACGTTTAGCAACTCCCTGGTTGCTTTGCTGTACACCTTACAGTAGCATCAAGGTGTACAGTTTTCGCCAAAAAAGTGACGAGAAAGTCACTTCGCAAGTCACGTGAGCTACCACTGTTTTTGACTAAGAGTTTTTTCTTGCGCGCGAAATGCAACTGAAAAGTTACGTAACAGTAACTTTCCAGTTGTTTTTCGCCCTTCCCTTTTCCGCGATGCCTTCTCTGGCCGCCGCACCCCCTTGTGCTCCTCCCCCCTTCTCTGCCCGCCGCACCCCCTTGTGCTTCTCCCCCCTTCTCTGCCCGCTGCACCCCCTTGTGCTCCTCCCCCCTTGTCTGCGGAGGCGGTAAGCGAGGAAGCGCGCCGAGCCGAGCGCACCCTCCGGGAAGAGCGGAAACCAGCAAGGAGGAAAGGGCGCGGCTTCGGCGAAGGTTGGCGGAGAAACGGTGCAAGCGTCGCGGCGCCGACGTGGCGGGAAGACGGTGACGGTGGTGGAGGGGCTGCGATTGGCCGGCGGCGATGCTGAGGTGGCAGCTCTGCTGAAGAAGCTGAAAGTGGCGCTCGGGAGTGGCGGCGCCGTTATGGAGTGTATGCGGGAGAGAGAGTGGGAGGGAGTGGCAGGGCCGTGCAGGACGTGTGTCTTGAACTGCAGGTGAGGGAGAGAGTGAAGGGGGCAGTGAGGGAGGAGTGAGGGAGTGAGTGAGGGAGGAGCGGGGAAGTGAGTGCGGGAGTGAGTGAGGGAGTGAGTGAGGAGTGAGGGAGGAGTGAGAGAGTGAGTGATGAATGGAACGTGGGGCTGCCATTCAGGGCAGCTATAGAGAGCATCTGGGTGCGATCTCTCTTGTTCCTGGCACCGTGCACTTCACCGCACAGCACTACCACAACGGTAAACAAGATTGGGCAAATGAACTCATCCCCAGCGGGATTCGAACATCCTCCCATCCCTGCTATCGCCTCCCTTAAACTCTCCCCTTAACTTCCCTCTCCTTTTCCTCTTCGCCGCTCTCCACTCTTCCCCCTCCTGATCTTCACCCCACTGACCTCCCCCCCTCCACTGAGCTTCCTTACCCGCCCAATGAGCTTCCCTTTCAACCCTCACTAAGCCTACCAACCCTCACTAAGCTTGCCAACCCCCACTAAGCTTGCCAACCCCCACTAAGCTTGCCAACCCCCACTAAGCTTGCCAACCCCCACTAAGCTTGCCAACCCCCACTAAGCTTGCCAACCCCCACTAAGCTTGCACAGCACAGCAGCACAGCACAGCACAGCAGGGCGCACAGCACAGCAGGGCGCACAGCACAGGGCAGCACGGCACACAGCACAGCAGGGCACACGGCACAGCAGGACGCACAGCGCAGTGGCAGTGGCAGTGGCACGCAGTGGAAAGCTATGTTGCGGAAGACGCAAGACGCGTCTTGCGTCTAGCGTCTAGACGCAGCGTCTAGACGCTAGACGCAAGACGCATATTTAGACGCTAGACGCTTGGGCTAATTTTTTTTGGGCAGCCTGGGAAAAAAAATATGGGAAAAAGTTTATGGTACGGGGAAAATTTCACCCAATTGTGACATATGTGCATGTCCCCCACCCTCCCCATGCCCGACAGAAGTTTTTTTAGGCTGCCCCAACCTTTTTTTGGCATGCCCGGGCTTTCGTCTAAACCTGCGTCTAATTTGGCCTAAATTGCGTCTAGCGTCTTAGACGCTGCGTCTAGACGGACGCGTCTAAGACGCTAGACGCGTCTTCCGCAACATAGGTGGAAAGTGTCCACGTGTGGGCGGCAGTGGCAGTGGCACGCTGCTGGTCTACGTGTCGGTTGCACGCTGGGTGGCAGAGGAACCGCTGGGTGTGACGAATTCTGCTCAGAAGCGCACAGATATCCTACCTACAATCCCTAACTTCCCTACAATCTCTTTACCTTCACACCCCCCCCCCCTCCCTCCTTTTCTCGCTCCCTCCCTCTCGTCCCTGGCCCCATCCCTTCGCTGTGCCTTGTGGTGCTATGGCAGGGAGGGGGGCGTGGCAGAGAGAGAGTGGTGGAGCTGCTGGGGGCCGTGGGCGTGCAGGCGAAGAATGTGTCTCACATTCAAGGCTTGCTGCGGCTCGAATCCGTCTTCAACCGGCTGGGGGCCATGGGGATGCAGGCCAAGCAGAGTGGGGGGAAGAGGAGGTACACACTTCTTAAATGCATCTGTTAAGTACTGAAGCTGGCACTTTCCCACTCCCTCCCTTCCTCTCTCCCTCCCTCCCTCCCTCTCTCCCTTTCCCCCTCCCCTCCCGCCCTCCTTGCCCCCATCCCATCCCGGTGCTCTCGTGCCTCTATGGCAGGGAGACGTGGCAGATCGAGAGGTGGAGCTGCTGGGGGGCATGAGTATTCAGGCCAAGAGGAGTGGGGGAAAGGGGAAGTAAACACTATACAGGTACATTCAGGGCAGCCGCAGAGAGCGTATGGATGTGAACTTTCTTGCCTCTGACACGGCGCTTCTGGTAAGCCTGGTAAATTATAGTGGGCAGATTGAGGAGTTCTGAGACTTATCAGAGTGTGGCTAACAGGATGCATTGCGACTAGAATATTCCCGAGGTGATAAGCTTCTGAGTTCAAGAAAACGACAGTCAACAGTCTGCAAATAACCATTTTTGAATGATAGCTAGTGTATTCTCAGACTTAGATTCACGCGTCCTAAGTCAATAGTGAAGGTTTGAATCTCACTGGCGATGAAATCAATGCTCAGACGGAGAGGATGTTCCACAACCTGTCTTCCTCCAAAGAGTTAATCCCTGGCTGGTATGGCATGGCAGGCTAACGAGGAACGGAGACCACTATGAGCCATCCTTCTGCTTACCTGCCATTCAAAATACTTTTCCGCACACCCCGCCTTCCAGCCCCCAGATCAACCTCCTAGCCTCTATTTTGGAAGGAAGTTTTTCGCATTGTGCCACCTCGCCCTCTCCATCGCCTCTTCCCCTTGTCATGTTCTCCCCTGCTCATGTTCTCCCCTGCTCATATTCTCCCCTGCTGATATTCTCCCCTGCTCATATTCTCCCCTGCTCATATTCTCCCCTGCTCATATTCTCCCCTGCTCATATTCTCCCCTTCTCATATTTTCCCCTGCTCATATTCTCCCCTGCTCATATTCTCCCTTGCGCATGATCCCCCCTTTTCATCATCTCCCCTTCTCATAATCTTTGCTTCTCATATTCTCCCCTTCTCGTATTCTCCCCTTCTCATATTCTCCCCTGCTCATATTCTCCCCTGCTCATATTCTCCCCTGCTCATATTCTCCCCTGCTCATATTCTCCCCTGCTCATATTCTCCCCTGCTCATATTCTCCCCTGCTCATATTCTCCCTTGCGCATGATCCCCCCTTTTCATCATCTCCCCTTCTCATAATCTTTGCTTCTCATATTCTCCCCTTCTCGTATTCTCCCCTGCTCATATTCTCCCCTGCTCATATTCTCCCCTGCTCATATTCTCCCCTTCTCAAATTCTATGCTACTCTTTTCCCCCTTTCTCATCTTATCCGCTTGTCATAATCTCCGTTTCTCATATTCTCCGTTTCTCATATTTTCCCCTGAACTCTCACTTTCACTCTCCTCTCGTTCGCTCGACTCTCCACTTTCCCCCACGCCTTGAGCTTGCCACCCACACTGAGCTTGCCACCACAATTCCGTTGAATTCCCACCCACACTGGAGTGGAGTACGATTGGGAACCTATCGGCTTCTGCCAGTGCATGCATCCCTGCACTGCCTGCACAGGCATCCCATGAGCCACCCAATCATTGCATTGTTCATGGTGCATGCTGCGTGGTGCATAGCGCATGTATCATGGCGCATGGTGCATGGTTCATGGGGCGTGCATGGTGCATGGTTCATGGGGCGTGCATGGTGCATGGTTCATGGGGCGTGCATGGTGCATGGTTCATGGGGCGTGCATGGTGCATGGTTCATGGGGCGTGCATGGTGCATGGTTCATGGGGCGTGCATGGTGCATGGTTCATGGGGCGTGCATGGTGCATGGTTCATGGGGCGTGCATGGTGCATGGTTCATGGGGCGTGCATGGTGCATGGTTCATGGGGCGTGCATGGTGCATGGTTCATGGGGCATGCATGGTGCATGGTTCATGGGGCGTGCATGGTGCATGGTTCATGGGGCGTGCATGGTGCATGGTTCATGGGGCGTGCATGGTGCATGGTTCATGGGGCGTGCATGGTGCATGGTTCATGGGGCGTGCATGGTGCATGGTTCATGGGGCGTGCATGGTGCATGGTTCATGGGGCGTGCATGGTGCATGGTTCATGGGGCGTGCATGGTGCATGGTTCATGGGGCGTGCATGGTGCATGGTTCATGGGGCGTGCATGGTGCATGGTTCATGGGGCGTGCATGATGCATGGTTCATGGGGCGTGCATGGTGCATGGTTCATGGGGCGTGCATGGTGCATGGTTCATGGGGCGTGCATGGTGCATGGTTCATGGGGCGTGCATGGTGCATGGTTCATGGGGCGTGCATGGTGCATGGTTCATGGGGCGTGCATGGTGCATGGTTCATGGGGCGTGCATGGTGCATGGTTCATGGGGCGTGCATGGTGCATGGTTCATGGGGCGTGCATGGTGCATGGTTCATGGGGCGTGCATGGTGCATGGTTCATGGGGCGTGCATGGTGCATGGTTCATGGGGCGTGCATGGTGCATGGTTCATGGGGCGTGCATGGTGCATGGTTCATGGGGCGTGCATGGTGCATGGTTCATGGGGCGTGCATGGTGCATGGTTCATGGGGCGTGCATGGTGCATGGTTCATGGGGCGTGCATGGTGCATGGTTCATGGGGCGTGCATGGTGCATGGTTCATGGGGCGTGCATGGTGCATGGTTCATGGGGCGTGCATGGTGCATGGAGAATGCATGGTGCATGACCCGTGATCCCTGGCGCATGGTGCACAGTGCATGGCTCATGGCTTGTGGTGCAGGTTCATGGTGTGTGGTTCATGATGCAAGTGTGACCGTGCATGTGTCATGGTGCATGTGTCATGGTGCATCTGTCATGGTGCATCTGTCATGGTGCATCTGTCATGGTGCAAGGCTCATCCACAATCCCCACTATGAAGCGTGAATGCTCCTCATGGCCTTTCCTGTCATGGCCTTCCCCCCTGACTTGTATTCACTGGCTTTCAACCACAAAAATCTGCCTTTAACCGCATATGGAACCACACTAACCCGCAGAATCACCTTCCACCACAAGATCATGTTTTTCCTCGCTGTGTTGCAACAGCCACCAGTATGCACAGGGCAGCAGTTCATGGGTTGCGCTGTGCACACACAGTTCACTCATGATGTGCCCTGTGCACACACAGTTCACTCCAAACTGATCACTCATGGATTGCAGGCTGTGCGTGGCAAAGGGAAAGTTGGGAGGGACTGCCTTTCAGAAGCACGGCACCTCCTCCTTCATGTTGCGTGACCCCTGAGTTCCGTACAATGACTTGCCATCCTCCCCCTGTTCTTGCCTCCCTTCCTGTCCCCATCCCTTCCCCGTGCTCTCATGCTGTGGTGGCAGGGGGGCGTGATAGAGAGAGTGGTGGAGCTGCTGGGGGCCATAGGCGCCCAGGCCAAGAGTGGGGGGGAAGGAAAAGTAGACAATTTTCTATGCACAAGCAGAAGCGATCAACTGCTGGGGGCCATGGGCATCAGGCACGAGGAGTGGGGTGAAACGACACCATTACGTGTATAGGCACTGGTTAAATATTGAAGCTGAGTTTCCCAGTGTTTCAAACGACTAGGAGTGCAAAAAACAGGAGGGCGTGGTTACTAGGAAAAAAGGTGTAGGGCAACAGTGCCTGCTACGAGAAACAATCACATGAAAGCAAAGCCTGCAGGAGGGGTGGCATAGCAGATGTTTTGTCATTTCCTTCTTCCCAATGAAAGCATTACTCTAAACCGGGAGAAGATGTTAAGCATTACTCCAATCAATGCCTACATTCGTTGTCTAGCGACTCGTGGAAGGAAAGACATTCGTGGAAGGAATGACAACACAAAAGACGCCCATAACGCCAGCCGAACTGGGCCATGGTTTGCAAGGCTGGGTTGAGCCGAGAGCATTGCATTGAAAGAGGAGAGGAGACTACAAAACTGCCGCTGCGACAGCATTAGTATTGCCCAAACCGCCACAACCAAGCATATCTCCCCCCTGTCCACGGGTTTCTCAGTGTATGCCCATCCTTCCTGTTTCTGTAGCTCCTCTTTCGCGCGTTTGCCCATCGCGCTAGTTTTCATCTCCAACTTTGCTGCAGGTGGTCCGTGTTCCTAAGAGTTCGCTCCCAGTGCCTTTCATTCAAATCTCAAAATAGCTGTGCTTCGACTCTCAAGCCACTTCCGCATCTTTGCCAACATCCGCCACCACTGGCGGTGTTACTGATTGAGGCTCGGACACGGCGTTCCATTACCTGCGGGACCTACTAGAACGGGTTTCTCATAAGCATTTACTTGTCTGTCTCGCGTTGCACCCAGGTAAGCCTTGCGTGATGCAGACCGGAGTAAGTTAACGAACCGAGTACATTACTGCTCCTTCGAACGATCACTCGCTTCATCGTGGTCACGGCGTTCAATTTCACATCCAAAGGCGAATGCGCAGCACTCCAAGCTGGCAAGCTGGATATACACGACTCGCGTCGCATTTTTGAAAATCCAATTTTCAAACCAGCCGCACAGTGGGCATCGTATGAGCAACCATTTCATTGCAGGAACCACTGGAGAACAACCTGACCTCAACTCAGCTCCATAGCTGCCCAAGCCGTGTGTTGTCTGGTGGCTTCCCAGCTAGATGACCACCCCCGGGTAAGAAACTGCTATCCCAGTAACCACCTACGGTATCCCAGTAAAGACCTAATGTGGTCACCGAGATGGTAACCACCTAGTAGCTGGTAGCGTGGTAGCGCTAAGCGGCCCATGCGGTGCATTTGCGGGGCTTGAAGCTGTCGTCGTCGCCCTTGCTCAGAGTCTTGGGCAGGATGACGTCATCCACGCCATGCACCTGCACCACTCGCAGCGCTATGACGTCAGCAGCCACCACGGAAGCTTCGTCCGCACCGTCCGCAGCCTTGAGCTCAACGGGCTTGACTCCTGCAGCTGAGACCTTCACTAGCTGCGCCTTGCACGAATCAGCCGCAGAAAGGAACTGTAGGCAGGAGGGAAGCAGGGTAAGTGATTTGAGAGATTATGGTTACGAGGGTGGAATGCAACTTGACACATTTGCCACGCGCGACTTGCGCTGCAGAATTAAGAATCGACAACTTGAAGGGTTGAAGGGTAAGAATATAATTATGGGTAGAGGAGGGCGGGATTGTGGGGGTAACGTATTAGCGTTACTGCATCGGATTGGGCGAAAACAGAAAGATTTTCCCAGGCGTGACGACACTATGTACGCGTCGCTCCGCCGTGACCTGTTTTCTCACCTGCTGCCCCTCCTTCTGCCCAGCTAGCGTGGCGCCGGTGACCTTGCCCTTGACGAGATGCAGCAGCAGCACCTCGCGAAGCACCTTCCTTTCGCGGAGCGCCGATTTGATGTCGCTCGAAAGGTTGGCGAACGCGGCGTCGGTGGGAGCGAAGACGGTCGCCTCATAGCAGTGGAACAGGTCCGGCAGGTCCTCGTCCAGCCCTGACGGAAAACGTCAGGCAAAAAACGTGAAGCGGACGTGAGTTTCAGAAAATCACTTAACGAGAAAACAAGAAACACTGAGTTGAAGGGCGTGTGATATTTCAACGACGAACATTCAATGTGATTGGCTGTGGATGGCTGGCTGCGGAATCTGACCTGTTGTTTTCAGCCCGTCGAGAAAGGTGGTGTAGTTCTTTGCGGCCCGCAACTCCCTCATCAGGTTGCTCACCACCAGCTTTCCATCGAAGCGGCAGTACGGACGAGCCGCGTCAACGGTCAGTGTTAGGCCCAGGAGCGCGAGGAGAAGCAGAGAGAATGCGCAGAAAAACTTGGCAGCCATGGGGAAAAATAGCTAGATTGTTGAAGTCAAGGGGGCGAATTCAGTCGAGCGGAAATGTTGGAAACTTGTGAACGAGTAGTAGCTTGAATGATTAATCGCAGCGAAGTCTTCTGCATTTGTACTCTACGGCTTTCTTGTTCCAGTAACTTCGAACGCGGGTTAATTGACGAGGCATGCATGGAGGCGGCTCGGGTACTGGAAGACGAGCGACAAGCGACCCGGAAGGAGAAGCCGACGAACCGCCTCTTCAGGAAGATCAAAAGCGGCCGCTGTCAACCAGCCGCTTGTTTGCGATGGGGTGGTATGGAACCTGCCGTTAGGAACTATCGGCTGGGTTCGGTTCGGACAAGGGCGCGAGGCCGCTTCATTTCCACCAATCAACGCCTTAGAAAGTGCTCGCCGAAGAACAACCATGCGAAGGGCGTAATGGATCTGGTACTGTACCGTCAAGAAAGCCGCGCGGGTTACAAGGGAGCGCTTTGTAAGTTTCACAAATGCAGCGAGAACGATTTTGCGAATGCATTCTGAAATGATTTTATAATGAATCCGGATAGGAAGATCTGTGTCTAAAACGGCCCTTGGTTTGCTCGGGTCAGTTACCAATTTCCAGCGGCTTCTGCTAGCGATTTTCCTGCTGGTCCCTCCATTGCAATGCAAGAATCAACATTTTCTCTTCCTATAAGCGGTGAACTGTGCAGTTTTGTTCGTACATATCAGGAATATTGCATTTTTCCAAGATCAGAAATAGGCCCATAAGTTGCCCCGTGTGACCATTTTCATCAATCACCACTGTTCCCTATTGATGTGCCATCACTCTCTGCTCACCTGTTTCTGTTACAGTTATTAATTTCTGGGATTCTTGTTCCTCACTGTAACCAGGTGCTTTCTTCTTGCTTTCTATTCTACAATCTTGGACGTAAACAAAGGAATAAATAGAATGCCTGGATAAGCCGACCAACTCAATCTCAACGCATGCGGCAACATAGATGGCTGAACACGGCTTGCTACACACGTGGTTTACCACCGTAACTAGCTCGCTACACACATGGGCTGCTACTAATCACACGGCGATTTACACGCAAGAAACAGGGCTACACACACGGCAACGCACACAGCTACACGCACAGCAACACCCATCCGTGACACTACATCTGGTACCCTAGAAGGGCATCAGCCGTCCCCTCAGAACGGCAGAGCGCAGCAAAATCCGCCACCAGAGCTTCAAACCTCTGCCTTGGCAGCGGGGGCTGTCTCAGCACCAACTCACAGAACAGCTGCATCTCCCCCTCCCCCACTGCAGCTGCAATTATACAAGTGACAACACCCATCCGTGACACTACATCTGGTACCCTAGAAGGGCATCAGCCGTCCCCTCAGAACGGCAAAGGGCAGCGAAATCCGCCACCAGTGCTTCAAACCGCTGCCGGGGCAGCGGGGGCTGTCTCAACACCAACTCACAGAACAGCTGCATCTCCCCCTCCCCCACCGCCTCTGGCACACCCTTCTGGAAGTTGTGAGAAAGTAACTCGGCAACCACCCATGGGATAGCCTACATTTGATATCCCAGCAGTGCATCAGCCGTCCCTTCGGAGCGGCAAAGAGCAGCAAAATCCGCCACCAGCGCTTCAAACCTCTGCCTTGGCAGCGGGGGCTGTCTCAGCACCAACTCACAGAACAGCTGCATCTCCCCCTCCCCCACTGCCTCTGGCACCCCCCCCTGGAAGTCCGGTGAACGTAACGTGGTTACCAGCCAGTTGGGGAGGAGCGGGTGGAGGTCGGGGAGGAGAATCAGGTGGTGGAGAGCGGTGCCGATGGGTCTGAGTAGGTCCCGCGGGGCTTTTCCGGCGGCTGCTAGGAGGAGGGAGGAGACGACCGGTTGGCCCTGATGCTGTAGACTTGTTATAATCACAGGTTGGGCACTGGTGGTGGGGGGAGGGGCAAGGGGAGAGAAGGGGCAAGGGGAGAGGAGGGGCAAGGGGAGGGGAGGGGCAAGGGGAGAGGAGGGGCAAGGGGAGAGGAGGGGTGAGGGGCGAGGGGCAAGGGGCGAGGGGCGAGGGGCGAGGGGAAGTGAGAGAGGAGGGTTGAGGGGAGAGGAGAGGGATGAGGGGACAAAGCTTGTCCAAGTGAGCCATGGATGGACAGCAAGAGCTCCGTGCGAGTGGAGGTGAGAAACTGAGAAGGTGTGCCAGAGCGACACTCTAACCTGCACTCTTATGAGAGCGCCTTCTTGCCTGGGGAGAGTGGGAAGCAGAGCAGCGTGAGTGCTGACTTGGCAGAATCCCTCTCTCCGTGTGCCACCGTGGCTGCAGTGGCGTCCAGCAGCGGCCCCAGGAAGGGCACTTTGTTGCCTCCTTAGACTCGTTGTGGGAGAGTGACGACGGTCTCACCTGATCCAAGCAGGGGAAGAGAGCGCCTTTTTTCCCGGGGAGAGCAGGAAGCAGAGCAGCGTGAGCGCTGATTTAGTGGAGTCTCTCTCCCCGTGCGCCGCCGTGGCTGCAGCGGCGTCCAGCAGCGCGCCCAGGAAGGGCGCCCTCTTGCCCCATTGACCCTCAGAGAGCAGCACGCCCAGCAGTGGGAGCGAGCGCTGAGACAACATGGAGAGACTGACAAGTGTGGGCCAGCCAGGCTCAGTGTGGAAGAGAGATGACAGTCCTACCTGATCCACGCGGGCGACGAGAGTGCTTTCTTCCCCGGTGACAGCAGGAAGCAGAGCAGTGTGAGCGCGGATTAGCGGAGTCCCTCTCTCCGTGTGCCATGGTGGCTGCAGCGGCATCCAGCAGCGCACCCAGGAAGGGCACTTAGTTGGCTTCTGAGACTCGTTGTGGGAGAGTGACGACGCTCTTACCTGATCCAAGCAGGGGGCGAGAGCATCTTCTTGCCAGGGGCGAGAAGGAAGCACAGCAGCGTGAGTGCTGACTTGGCCGACTCCCTCTCTCCATGCGCTACCGTGGCTGCAGCGGCATCCAGCAGCGCGCCCAGGAAGGGCGCCCTCTCGGGGCCAGAGACAGCAGCGGGACAGCGCGAGCGCTGAGAGCAAGAGGTGGTATGGGATAGTGACGACGGTCCTACCTGATCCAGGCAGGGGACGAGAGTGCTTTCTTCCCCGGTGACAGCAGGAAGCAGAGCAGTGTGAGCGCAGACTTAGCAGACTCCCTCTCCCCGTGCGCCACTGTGGCTGCAGCGGCGTCCAGCAGTGCACCCAGGAAGGGCGCCGTCTTGGGGCCAGAGACAGTAGCCGGCACAGCAGCGGGACCGCACGCATGCTGAGAGCAACAGCGAGAGTCCGAGGGAGAAAGTGTGGAGAGTGACGACGGTCTCACCTTATCCAGGCGGGAGAGGAAAGCGCCTTTTTCCCCGGGGAGAGCAGGAAGCACAGCAGCGTGAGAGCAGATTTAGCCGACTCTCTCTCCCCGTGTGCCACTGTGGCTGCTGCTGCGTCCAGCAGCGCGCCCAGGAAGGGCGCCTGCAGCAGCAGGTGCGGTGCGAAGAGCAGGTAACGATACGCCATGTCGAAGAGGGCTGATAGGACCTCCGGCCGATGGGGGAGGTGACCTCTCTGCATGGATGGGAGGGGAGAAAGGAGGTATTGGAAGGAGTTTAGATGGGGTTGGACGGGAAGGCTGCAGCAGCAGGTGCGGCGTGAATAGCAGGTAGCGGTATGCCATGTCGAAGAGGGCTGATAGGACCTCTGGTCGATGGGGGAGGTGCCCTCTCTGTGGTGAAAAAGGAAGAGATGAAAGGGAAAGGGCATGGGGTTGAGATGGGTTGGAAGGTAAGGCTGCATGCTGCAGCAGGTGTGGTGCAAAGAGAAGGTAGCGGTAGGCCATGTCGAAGAGCGCTAATATGACTTCTGGTCGATGGGGAAGGTGACCGCGCTGTGCGGATGGGAGGGGAGAAAGGAAGAGGTATTGGAAGCAGCTTAGATGGGGTTGGAGGTGAAGGTTGCAGCAGCAGATGCCCGTTCAAAGAGCAGGTAGCGATATGCCATGTCGACGAGGGATGAGAGAAGCTCTGGGAGATGGGGGAGATGGCTGCGCTGTGTGGATGGGTGAAGAGAAGGAGGGAGGCATGTTCAAGGCCACATCACGCCAGGGCCACTGTCTTCCTCTTGCTATTAAGCATGAGGGAGAAAGCACAGATGGAACAGAGGTGCAGGTGCAAGTGGAGGTGCAGGTGCAGGTGCAGGTGCAGGTGCAGGTGCAGGTGCTCCTCCTTGCACGCCGAACACAGAGACGGGAGACAGGCTCACCTGAGACAGGCTCACCTGAGACAAGCTCACCTGAGACAGGCTCACCTGAATGAGCGAGAAAGCACTGATGGAGCAAGCTTGCAGTGCTGAATGACACACAGACAGGTCCACAGCTGCACCACCAGTAGACGCCGCAGAAGCACTGAGCTCAAGCACCAATGCCAGCACCTCCAACACTGCCGGGTGCTGATGCTCCTCGAATGCGGTGACGAGCGGTGCAATGGACGGCAGGATGCGTGGAGAGGGGTGCTTGAGGCAGAGTAAGGAGTGGCGGAAGAGGTGGCAGAGGGCGGTGATGACTTGCGTGTGGGCGCGCCATCGGGGGGAGGAGAGGAGGTCTGATACCAGCGGTGCTGCTGCTTCCATCACTGCTATGCATGGGTGCTGCTGCTTCTGCTGTTGTTGGTGGTTCTGTGATTGCTGCTGCTGTTGCTGTTGCTGCTGTTGATGGTCCTGTATTTGTTGCTGTTGGTTCTGAAATTGTTGTTGTTGTTGTTGCTGGGAGGGTGGCATGCGTCTCAAGGCGTCGTCAAACTCAAGAAAACGCACAGCAGCAGCCAGTAGCAGCAGCTGCGTCGACAGCGACTCTCCCACCCCCTCGCCCCCACCCCCACTGCTCCCAACCGCACCAACCCCACCACTACTGCCACCCCTCCCACCACCGTCACTGCTCGATCCAAACCCACTGGCTTCATTCGTCTGCATTTGCGCAAGCTGTGCCGCCAGCTGTAAGTGCGGAGAGGTGAGGGTGAGAGCAAGAGGGGCAGCGGTGGCGGGGGGGAGGGAGGCGATAACCCGTGCCTGCCCCTCCATTAAAGCCTGCCTGATCTCCAGGTCTACGGAGTGAGGGGAGGGAGTCGGGGTGGGAGGCGGGCGCGTGAGAGTGCGAGGAGGGGAAGGAGAAGGAGGAGGAGGAGGAGAAGAAGGAGAAGGAGGAGGAGGAGAGGGAGGAGAAGGAGGAGGGGAGGTGGGCGGTGCCGCGGGGGCGAGAGGCGATGAGGGAGGTGGAGGGGAGGGCGGAGAGGGTTGCTGTCATGAGGTGCTGGAGGAGCGAGGGGGCGTTGAGACGGGGAGCACAGCGGGCGCAGACAGCCCTGAAAGCCGCTGCTGCACTGCGCACTGCCTCTGGTACCTGAAAAAAGAATGGGATTGGGAAGGGCGGGCGAGGGGACGGCGTAAGGAAAAAGGAGGTTGGGGTGGGAGGCACAGCGCATTTGTAGTGTCAGGTACAGGAAATGCTCTGGCGGCATCAACCACACTACGCACTGCCTCTGGTACCGGGTGGGATGGGGGAGGGATGAGAGTAGGTGGGGGAGAGACGTGGGAGGAGGGGAGGGGAATGTGCAGAGAAGAGGGTGAGAGACAGAGAGAGAGGGGGAGATGAGGTAGGAAGCACAGTGCAAGGCACGGCAGGTGCACACTGCTCTGGAAACATCTCTGCCTCTGCTGCATTGCACTGCCCCTGGCAGCTGGTGAGGTGAGTAAAGGGGAGGTATGGAAGGAGGGAAAGGGGTAATGATATTATGGGGAGTGGTGCAAAACGACTCATGTGTGTACGGTTGAGGCATAGAAGGCTGCTCACATATGGGAAGGGCTTTAAGGAAATATCCCGACTTAGAGTGGGTGGCACATACATGCCGGGTTGCAAGGGGGTATTTTACAGTCCTGATGCAAAACGCAGACCGCGAAGGGCAAGATCCGTATTCCTGATAGATGGGGTTTGGAAACTTGACTCTGTTGCAACTTGGGACTTCGACAACCAAACTCGAAGGCCCCCCCCTCCCTCCCCCCTGGGCGAAAGTGTAACAGCCTTCGCTCACAAACACCCCCGTCAACTTCTGTGAGCACGAGCCTAGCGGTAAACCTTACTAAGGTTGAACATTTTGGGCCTCGAGCTGTAAGGAGGTATTTAAACATTTGAATACGATAGGTGGTAACTACCAGGGCTTCACGAAATCACCTGCAGCGCCTAAGGATTTCACCTGCAGGGCTTTAAGGAGGTAGCCAATGATCACCTGCAGGGCTTTAAGAAGGTAGCCAATAATCACCTGCAGGGCTTTAAGGAGGTAGCCAATAATCACCTGCAGGGCTTTAAGAAGGTAGCCAATAATCACCTGCAGGGCTTTAAGGAGGTAGCCAATAATCACCTGCAGGGCTTTAAGGAGGTAGCCAATAATCACCTGAAGGGCTTTAAGGAGGTAGCCAATAATCACCTGCAGGGCTTTAAGGAGGTAGCCAATAATCACCTGCAGGGCTTTAAGGAGGTAGCCAATAATCACCTGCAGGGCTTTAAGGAGGTAGCCAATAATCACCTGCAGGGCTTTAAGAAGGTAGCCAATAATCACCTGCAGGGCTTTAAGGAGGTAGCCAATAATCACCTGCAGGGCTTTAAGGAGGTAGCCAATAATCACCTGCAGGGCTTTAAGGAGGTAGCCAATAATCACCTGCAGGGCTTTAAGGAGGTAGCCAATAATCACCTGCAGGGCTTTAAGAAGGTAGCCAATAATCACCTGCAGGGCTTTAAGAAGGTAGCCAATAATCACCTGCAGGGCTTTAAGGAGGTAGCCAATAATCACCTGCAGGGCTTTAAGAAGGTAGCCAATAATCACCTGCAGGGCTTTAAGGAGGTAGCCAATAATCACCTGCAGGGCTTTAAGGAGGTAGCCAATAATCACCTGCAGGGCTTTAAGGAGGTAGCCAATGACGCCCAGCAGGCAGTCGGGCTGGAGGTTGAGCCAGTCAGCGAAGGAGCCAATGAGCAGGCAACACGTGTCCACCAGCAGCGGGTGGGACGAAAGGAACCCTCCCGTCTCCGCATCCCGGCTCACATGCACCATCACCCCTCCTAGCACCGCTGCCATGCGCTGCTCCCTCTCCCCGTATGCTTCCAAATTTAATAGTCGTTTCTTCACTGGTGGGGAATGGGGGGTGGGCATGAGAGGGGGAGGTGGGGGATGCTTAAGGGGAGGGGACAAGCCATCATCCCCCCAGCACTGCTGCCATGCGCTGCTCCCTCTCCCCGTACGCTTCGAGGTTTAGTAACCGCTTCTTCACTGAGGGGGATCCGTGGGGGGTAGATTGGGGAGAGTATGGGGATGGGACACATAGGGGAGCTCAGGGGGTGGGTCTCAAAACACGCCCAGCACCGTTGCCATGCGCTGCTCCCTCTCCCCGTACGCCTCCAGGTTTAGTAACCTCTTCTTCACTGGGAGGGAGCATTGGGGGGGACAGGGGGTTGGGGCGTGTGGATGCTTAGGAGGAGCGCCAAAAAGACCAGTTGCATTACTTAAACTCGAATGTGTCAAGGTATACTTAGGTAAAGACATTAAGCCTGGCCAACAAAATTGGGGCCCCATAAACTGTAGGTTGGATTTTGGTCAGCATCATTGGAGGTGCAGTGATTGTTGGGAACTTATCCAGCATAACCACAACTGTTCCTATCGTACCTGCCTGTGCCGCAGATCGCAGCATGAAAAGCGACGCCTCTGCTGCCTGCCATGTGCCTGCACTCTGCAAGGCGATGTATCGTGTATGAGATGGCACGGTATGGCAGGGTGTGGTGCACGAAAAGAATCACATCACCCAAAACCCTAACAATCTGACGTGCAATGCCTCTGCAGACTGCCGTGAGCCCGCTCACTGCCTGATGTGGAAAATTGGATTGCATTGGATGGCATGACATGGTGTGGCATATGGAAAGAATCACATCACAGGAAGGAGGGATTCGGAAGAGCGATGCTTCTGCAGCCTGCCATGTGCCCGCACTCTGCATGATGCATGGCGGTGCATGGTATGGTATGGTGTGGTGATGGGACAACATGGCATGACACCATGACATGGCATGGGAATTTAACCACGAAACTACGAAGCAAGTTATCATGTCAGATGTGCACATGTGGCATGGTGCACATGATAGTGCACTCTCCAACACCCACCTACAAGAAGCTCCCACACCCACCTGCAGGGAGGCCCCCACGCGGTCCATGTATTCCACTGGCATCAGCCCAAACGCCATGTGCAGCCCATCTGCTGCTAGCTGCCAGGTGAAAACAACAGAGGTCAGGTGGGTTGCCAGGTGAAATCAACAACAGCCCAAGGAAGGCAAGCGTTTGTGCAGCGGCTCATGTGTCTTATGAATGAGTCGACTTCATGAGATGGCGGGCGGGCCATGGACAGCGTAAGAAAAGCAACCAGCTCACTCACAATTCCACCAAACAAGAGGTGACTTCTGAGTCAACGCAAAAATCACCTAGAAAATCAACCAGCTCACTGACAATTCCACGGGGAATAGGGATAGCAACACCTGCTCCGGGATCATATCACCCCATCCCTTTTCGTTATATTATACTCTCCGTTGGTACTGGCATCTGTTGCAATCACCTGGCCCTCTGTTGCAATCACCTGGCCCTCTGTTGCGATCACCTGGCCCTCTGTTGCAATCACCTGGCCTCTGTTGCAACCACCTGGTCTCTGTTGCAATCACCTGGCCTCTGTTGCAATCACCTGCTCTCTGTTGCAATCACCTGCTCTCTGTTGCAATCACCTGATCCCTGAAGCGGTAGAATGCGTCAGCATCTTCCTGATTGTCGGCCCATGATGTGAACGAGGGCGGATAGGCTGCCTGCAGGTGGGGGGGGGGAAGAGAGGGAAGAGAAGGGGCGAGCCAACGGGAGTGGCGATTCCTGAGTGAATCGAGCCATTGGGAGTCGCAGTGCTGCCGCTAGGCAGTGCAAGACTGGAGGTGGCGTTGGTGGCATACGCACGTGCACTCTGTCCATGACTGCCTGTGCTGTGCTGTGACCCGCTGTGCTGTGCTGTGATGAGCGTGTGATTAGGCATTGTGTTCACTCACAGCCGAGAAGAACGCTACCACCGCATCTGCTGCACTCGCCTCCACTTCCTCCTCTGCCCTTTCACACACCCTCCCTCACACACGCCCCCTGGCTCACCTTGCTGGTCAGCACTTCAGCCAGCCGTAGAAACAGGGCTCCCCGGTACCCCTCACTCCTCTCATTCACAGGCACCACATTCACAGCTGAAAAGAACTCCACCACCGCATCCGCACTCGCCTCCACCTCCTCCGCGCTCTCCCCCTCGCCCTCGCCTCCCCCCCACGCCCCCCCGCCCCCTGCAGCGCACGCCAGCACGACCTCCCCCACAGCCACGCCCTCAGGCGCACGCGGGTCCGTGAGTGACTCTGGGTGCTCCTCTCCCACGGCCACTGCTGTGCTGCTGAGAGCCCTCTGCACCGCCCGCCTGGCTTCATGACTCCACGTGCCTGACTGTGCCTGCGCCACGTCCCACGCGTCTAGGAGGGCCTTGAGCACGGAGGATAATACGGGTGCTGATTCATCTGGTGCTGAAGGGGGGAAGGAGGGGGAAGGAGGGGGAGGGAGGGGGAGGGAGGGGGAGGGAAGGCATGTGATTGCCTCTGGGTGCTCCACTGCCACGGCCACTGCCACGCTGCTCAGCGCCCTCTGCACCGCGCGCCTGGCCTCGTGTGACCATTGGCCTGCCTGTGCCTGTGCTACGTCCCATGCGTCAAGGAGGGCCTTTAGAACGGACGAGATAACTGGTGCTGACGCATCCAGTGCTGGGGGGGGAGGGGGAGGAGGAGAGGGAGGCAAGAAAGAAATTTCCCAGAAATGGAAGGGTGGAAGAAGGGAGGGATGAGGCAGCGGAAAGGCGTAAGGTTCTGGGTGTTCACTTGGCCTGGTAACCCCATGTGCATGAGTGAAGAAGATGGGCTGTACACATACCATCCATGCAATGATGCAACAAGAACTGAACCCACCGGGGGCCTCCGATTGGATTGGTTGACAAGTAATGAACCCACCAACCTTGGGAATCTGTTTGGCTGACGAGCGCCACGAGAATATCGGCGCTGGTGGCAGCGACAGGTGGGTGGGGGGACGCGAGCGAGCGGAGAATGAAGTGCCAGAGGAAGGGGAAGGCGGTGCTGAGATGGCACGCTGTGATTGGCTGCTGGCCCACGGAGGCGAAGTCGAGGTGCAACCAGGTGAGGAGCAGGCGGAGGAAGGCGGAGAGGAGGGGCGGAGGGTGGGAGGGGAAGGAGGGCGCGGGGAGAGAGGAGCTGTGGCGCTGCGAGTAGGTCTGGATGATCTGCAGCAGGTCCGGGAAGCGGGTCTGCAGGCATGGGGGTATGGAGGAGTGGAGGTGTGGATGGGGGGATGGATGGAGGAATGGAGGGGTGAGGGAGGATGGTAGAAGGGGAAAAAGGCAAGGAGTGAAATCAAGGATGTAGGTGTTAAGGATGGGAGGGTATGGAGGTGACGGTAGTTGTTGTGGGTTACAAGGGAATGTGGCTAAATGTGAAGGGTGGTGATTTGGAAGAGACCGCTCCAGAGGCGAGCAGAATGCATGCATTGCCCACAGGCCAGCGTTAATCAACGTTGGTCAACGCTGGTCAACGCTAGTCGGTGATTTCCTGTAATGCGCGCCTACCCGGATGAGCGCAAGGGTGATCTCTGTGTTGCGCCTATCCAGCTGTTCCGCCTCTTCCGCCACCCCCTGCAGCACCGCCACCACCACCGCCAGCGCCTGGTCGCTTGCGCTCCCCCCGCCCCCACCGCCGCCCCCGCCCCCCAACCCTTGCGCACCAGATCCTCCCTCGCTCTTCTCTGCCACGTCAGCGGCGCGCAGCACGACGTCCAATAGCGTGCTGGCATTCAGCGCGTGCTGATTGGCCGACCGCAGCGCGACCGCCGCCACGACGAGGCAGACGCGCGAGAGGACGACAGGTGGCACGCTGCTATTGGTCATGTAGGACGCGACGAGGCGCAGCAGATGCGCGCCGAGCTCCGCGCGCGAGTCTGGGGGGAGAGCGCCGAGATCGGAGCGCGCTTTTGAAAGAAGGAGGTTGGCACAGAAGTAACGGACTTCCATTGACTGCGCTGACTCGACGAGACTCGCGGCGACGCCCCATGCGGCGGGGGTTGCGGCGAAGGAGGTGAGCCATGCGTTGGCTTGGGACTTGCGATCCGGGGAGGGGTCCGTGTAGAGAATGGACACGGCCTCCACCACTTGTGAGGCGTCCATCGCGAAACGTTCCTAACTATGTGCTGGTCGCTGGATCTCGGACCGCCCCCGTCTGAGGTGCTTGGGAGGAAAAGGCGGGAGCGGGAGGCGACTGGGTGGCTTGGGGGTGGAGGATGGAAAGTGGGCATGTTTCGTTAGTTGCAGTTCCGCAGGAGTGGGGCTCTCCAAGTTTGCAAATCAATCTATTTTTCCATCTTAGGACTACAATTTCGGGATGACAGCCTGGAATTCATGAGCACGTTCCCCTTAGACATTGGTAAGAAAAATGCTCTATTACGGTAACACTCCCCATAACCCCATATATCCTATTTGAACATTAAAATATCATCGATACATCTGTAATTGCAGAAACCGTCAGATTCATAATTTGATCGTCACAAATATGTTTTTTTTGTTAATTAATTGCGTGAAATCTCATTAATGTCAAACATATGCCCCTCCCACTCAAAAATGATGATTCCGCTATAAGAAAAATCAAAATATTTCATCATGTAGAGCACCAGATCTATTGGCCAGTATTGAGAAATCCGACGACCTACCACCAGCTCAACTACAGAATCCGCCGATTTCCCCAAGGGCTGTCATGTCAACATCTAGATCCACGTGGCCGAGTGTGGGGGGGCCCCTCCAGTGGACATTTCCCCGTGTGGTCCCACCATCCCAGGCACGGCTGACTCAGATCAGAGGCCCACGCGCACCACGGCGAACATCACTTCGCTTGCATCTCCCTAGCTCGCACCAATCGCGGTTACAGGCAGACACCCACCAAACCAAGATCAGGGAAACCGCTGTGCCATGTATAACCTACCTCGAGATCTCCGTCACATTTGAGATTTTCCGAGCGAGCAGGCATTGCTATCAACATCAGGCGTATTGATCGCGTCTCTTTCTAAAGGGGTGACTAGTTGACCAGGAAGTGAAATTAACTCAATCTCCCCTGGTCTTGCATAGTAGCGTGGAGCCAAAATGGCGACCGGCCAACTGTTTTCAAAGAACACCCAGGCTCTGTTCTACAACTATAAGCAGAATCCCGTTCAACGGATGCTGGATTTCGACTTCTTATGCGGTGCGAAGAACACGTAGCGCCAGAGCCGGATTTGGTGCTTTGAGCTCACTTGGCCCTTTTTAAGACTGTATTTTCACGCTCTTTAACACCTTCTCGGCCTGCTCTCTAGCTAAGGAGGATGGCTCAAACTCAAGAAATGGCTGACCAGACTACTAAATCTAGGCGTCTATATCGTTTCCAAAGCTCATGCAACCGTTGTTTTTCTCCTCCGCTCTTTGCCAGGTCGAACTCTGCCTTCTGTTGCTGGCATCATCACACCGGGATCTGATGGCTTTCACAAGCTCTTCTTTGGCCAAGAGGAGATCGCGCTTCCGGTTCACCCCAGGTAAGTTAAGCCTTTCGCATTTAAGATTTATCCGCTCCAGCATCGCAGTCAGCGTCGGTCATGTGTATGCATGCCGTACCAAGCCTACGTCAAATTCGACTCAAAACACGACGGCTCCCTATACAGCTATCCTTATAACTTGATTTCCTCCTTCTGTCATTGTGCTTGTTCTCGAAACAGCATCACGGCGGCCTGCAAGGCGCATCCAACGGCTGACGTCTTCGTCAACTTCGCATCGTTCCGAAGGTTTGGCTTGCGGAAATGGTTCGGTTCATCACCCGGCACTGCGCGTGTTTCACGCAACTCACTGCACAAAGCCTTTGCTGCTTGCCTAAACAACGCACCTCCATGGGAATTCCTTATTGGCACCTCTCAATGTCTTCACATCCCGTGTGTCTGACCCACCCCATCCCTGGCAACAGTGCGTTCGAGTCGTCGTACGAGGCGTTGAAGCAGCCCACTATCAGGGTGGTGGCCATCATCGCAGAGGGCGTGCCGGAGGCCGACACGAAGACTCTCATCGCCTACGCGCGCGCCAACAACAAGGTACCCGCACCAGCACCACCTAACCATCCATCCACCTCCCAGCATGCCACATCTCACACCCGTTTCACCAGCCAGTCTACAAGTTACATCCCCATCGCGGCAAAACCATCAATTGCTCCTAAATTCCTCTTCCCATGTAACTACTGAAGCTCGGCTGACTGACATGCGCTGTGCTGTGGTACCTGGGCAACAGGTGATTATTGGCCCGGCAACGGTGGGCGGTATCCAGGCGGGAGCGTTCAAGATCGGCGACACAGCGGGCACGCTGGACAACATCATCAGCTGCAAGCTCTACCGCCCTGGCTCCGTCGGATTCGTCTCCAAGTCGGTGAGTGAGATACACGCCTTGCAGTACCCTGCAATGCCCTTCTAGTTCCTTAGATGTGCGTGTCACTCTTTGCATTCATGTCGTTGCTGATGTTGCCTTTTGGCGTTGCTTCCCTCATTTCTACCCCTTCCCCTGTGCTATTTTCCTGTATGCTGTGGTGTGGTGTGGTGCTGTGGTGTGGTGTGGTGCTGTACTGTGGTGTGGTCACAGGGAGGCATGTCGAACGAGATGTACAACGTGCTGGCACGCACCACAGACGGGCTCTACGAAGGTGAGAGAAGAAGGGGGCAGAGGGGATAACTCAAGAGTCAATGAAGACTGCCTGTCAGTTGTGACCCAGGAGAACCATTTTCCAGTCTTTCTCTAGAGGCATCAACTGACGATCTTTGTCCAACAGCTAACGTTTCCTTCTTGTTCTGTTTGTTCATCAATAGTGGTGATTGCCCGCTTGCTCCACTGCTGTCTCCCTGCGTCTCCCATCCAGGTATCGCCATTGGTGGCGATGGCTTCCCAGGCTCCACGCTCTCAGACCATGTCTTGAGATTCAACAACATTCCCCAGGTATGGTGACTTCCTTTACATTCGCTCAACATATTTTCACTCGTGTGATTGGTGGGAACTTACCAGGTCCTGAACAGCTCGCACTCCAGTCCCAGATGTGTTTCTTCATTGTAAGTCGCACAAGGCAGGTGGTGATAACTGCTGTTGCATGCTCAGTTCCAGTCCAGCCGCACTTCCGTCTGCCACGGTGCCCCCTTATAGGCAGGAGCAAGTTCACCTTCGCATTCTCCTCACAGATCCCTGGGCTATCAATACTCTGGTCACATTCGCGTTTTGATGACGTGGGAAGAGCCGTAGCGCCATGGATGAGTACCCACGGGCTGCACCCCTGCTGCTTCCTCTCCCTCCACCGCTCCTCTGTGTCAGATCCGCATGATAGTGGTGCTGGGCGAGCTGGGCGGTGCGGACGAGTACTCGCTGGTGGAGGTGCTGAAGGAGGGAAGATGCTGCATATATGTGCACTGCCCGGCCCCACTCTCCCCCTTCCTCTCCCTCCACCGCTCCTCTGTGTCAGATCCGCATGATAGTGGTGCTGGGCGAGCTAGGGGGCACGGACGAGTACTCGCTGGTGGAGGCGCTGAAGGAGGGGCGCGTGCACAAGCCCGTGGTGGCGTGGGTCAGTGGCACCTGCGCCACTCTCTTCAAGTCCGAAGTGCAGTTCGGCCACGCTGTAAGCCTCCACACCACACCACACTGCCTTTGACTCACAACCCACCTACTTGCACGCCCTGATGAAGAAAAAGGTAACACCCGAAGTGGTTGACTCCTCCTTACGGCACGTTGTTTACAGCTGCTCGTCAGTATCGTTTTCACAGACTTGGTTGTTTCCTCCTGCCTGGCGACATCTTTCCCTGGTGATCCACTGAATGCTCCAACGGTGGAGTCAAGAGCGACACAGAGTGGACACCAATTGCAGCACCCATGCCGGTTGGGTGTGAGGCCTGTCAAAAGCCCTGAACCCCCCTTCCCACCCTGATGAACCCCCCTTCCCCTCCCTGATTGTTCCCCCAGGGCGCCAAGAGCGGGGGGGAGAGCGAGTCAGCACAGGCGAAGAACGCGGCGCTCAAGGCAGCGGGGGCCATCGTGCCCACATCATTCGAGGACCTGGAGACCGTCATCCGCGCCACCTATGAGAAGCTCGTGAGTCTCACAGACAGTGTATGATCACCGGATAAAGCTGCCCACAATGCCAGGTGAAGTATCCTTCACCAGCCTGTCTCTCTCTGGTTTATCCAGTGGATCTTGTCACTACGTGCCCACGTCGTTTGAGGACCTGGAGACCGTCATCCGCGCCAGCTATGAGAAGCTCGTGAGTCTGAGACCAGTACTGCATCATCAGGGTTTAGGCATGCGCAGGGAGCAATTACAGGCAGACAGCACCGGCCGTGGCTGACAGCACACGCCAGCTCACTGCCATCGTTTGTCACTTTATCATAAACGTTATCACCCTGCGTTCACTTGTCTCAGAGAGCTCAGATCTTGCAACAGGAGAACCGAACAGTTAGAGGACTACCCATGAGTGCCAGATGAACCTTCACTTCGCCAGCTTGGCCTCTCTTGTCTCGTTCATCACATTCATGTCAGTACGTGTTCACAACTTAAGCATCTCGGTAAACCGATTGGCTGCTGACGATGCAGTACAATGCCGTCACTCCCTCATTTTCCGTCTATAGCCGCGGCTCTCTCGCACCCCACCGCCGCCCCTCTCTTGCTGTTCGTTCTGGTCATTCCCCCGAGGCAGGTTGCGCCAGTGACAGAGTAACAGACGCCCGCCCACAGTGCCCCAAGGCTTCTGAGCATAATCACCAGCTCCCCTCAATATCCCTCCGTGCCAAAATCCCCCAGGTGGGGGAGGGCAGGGCACCATCCAGCCCGTGGCAGCTTAGCAGCAGCAGCCCACAGCACAGTGCCAGACGTCCTTCGAACATTGCCCTTGTTCGCCTTCAGCATTTTCACCTCCTTCCATCACGCCTTTCTGTTGTTTTGTTCCCCAGGTGGCGGAAACTGCTATCTAGCCAGTGGCAGAGATGAAGTCCCTACAGTGCCGGAGGACCTTGAGTCACAGCCAGCTTTCCCCCTCACCTCTCTCTCTTCCCCCACTCCTCCCAACCCAAAACCATCCAGGTAGCAGAGGGCGCCATCCAGCTGGTGGCGGAGAAGCAGCCGCCCACAGTGCCGAAGTACCTCACAGCCCTCGTTCTCCCTCAATTTTCTCATTTCTCCCCAAATACGCCTTGCTGGTGCTGCAGGTGGCAGAGGGCGCCATCCAGCCAGTGGCGGAGAAGAAGCCCCCTACAGTGCCGGAGGACCTCACAGCCGCCATCAAGGCCGGCAAAGTGCGCGCCCCCACACACATCGTCTCCACCATCTGCGACGACAGAGGTAAGGTTTTTTTTTAGGCGCCTCAAGGGCTTTGGCGAGGTGGGCGATGTCATGTGCCTGCATCTCTGCGCTCTCCCGTGTATGTGTGTGCTCATGCCCTTCTTCCCATCACCCCTCTCGCTCGCTGCAGGCGAGGAGCCGACATACGCGGGGGTGCCCATCTCGACCATCGTGGAGAAGGGCTTCGGCGTGGGAGACGTCATGTGCTTGCTCTGGTTCAAGCGCTCCCTCCCCGCCTACTGCACCAAGTTCATTGAGGTGCTCTGCTCTCCCCTCCCCTCCCCTAGCAGCGTTTCGTTCAACACTCTTTGTTCCTTGCCCAGTCCATCTGTGCAGCCTCGTTGCTCCCACTCATTGATCTCTTTCCATTCTTCCATTAATCTCATCTCACCTGTACTGCCAGAACAGCTTGGCGCCTCATGTATCCTGTGGCGTCCAGAAACCTTGTTAAACTAGCGTTTTGGCACAATCTCCTTCTGTCTCTTGGGAAGAATCACTGGTTGGTGATGGTGCAAAATCCTGGTTTGAGGAAATTCTGCTTCTTGTGGGCGTCCCTTAAACCATTACCATCTCCTCCTGGTCTTCTCCTTCAGCGTCTCCCGTCACATCCTGCCACTGCTCCCACCTACCACTTGACTGCATGCAGATGTGTGTGGTGCTGTGTGCGGATCACGGCCCATGTGTGTCAGGCGCACACAACTCCATTGTCACCTCGCGAGCCGGCAAGGACCTCATCTCCTGCCTCGTCTCTGGTGCGTTCCCCTCTTCTCTCGTCACAAAGTGACTTTTGAGTCGACTCAAAAGTCACTGCGAGCCGGCAAGGACCTCATCTCCTGCCTCGTCTCTGGTGCGTTCCCCTCTTCTCTCGTCACAAAGTGACTTTTGAGTCGACTCAAAAGTCACTGCGAGCCGGCAAGGACCTCATCTCCTGCCTCGTCTCTGGTGCGTTCCCCTCTTCTCTCGTCACAAAGTGACTCTTGAGTCGACTCAGAAGTCACTGCGAGCGGGCAAGGACCTCATCTCCTGCCTCGTCTCTGGTGCGTTCCCCTCCGCTCCCTCTTTACGAAGTGACTTTTGAGTCGACTCAAAAGTCACCACGAGCCGGCAAGAACCTCATTTCCTGCCTCGTTTATGGTGCGCTCCCCACTTCTCCCTCGTCACACCTGCCGGGGCACCACGTGGTGTCTCGTACCCTTAACATTAAGTGGATTGCAGGGCCATACTTTGTGTTCAGCGTGGATCCGGTTTCGAGACGTGTTTTGAGACGTTTCAAAACATGTGGTGTGGTGTCTCTTTTGAGAATTCTCGTAAGTGATATCAACAAACGGTAGTAAGCATGAAGCGGAATCTTGTGTGTCATTGGGCACACGTGCACATTCGCTGGTCTTGCTGTCCCTTGTCTTTCCTCGCTATTGACTGACCTCCCAGTATCGCAAAGCAAGCACGCTTGTGGCCCAGGTGTCACACTACTGCTGTGGCCAGATCCCATTCATTTGATGCAAGTTCTGTGACCCACTCATTCTTAGCTTCCCTCCAACAACATCCGTTAGCTTCTCCTCCTTCCCTTTCCCAATGCACATACCTCTGAAGCCGGCCACCACGAGTGCCACCAGCCCATCACACGAGTGCCACCAGCCCATCACACGAGTGCCACCAGCCCATCACACGAGTGCCACCAGCCCATCACACGAGTGCCACCAGCCCATCACACCTTAAGTTTTCTTCTCCCCCTCCCCAACTTTCTTTTTCTTTGCCGTCCTATCTCCATGATTCTGAATGCTACTCCTTGCAGGGCTGCTCACTATCGGTCCGCGCTTTGGAGGAGCCATTGACGATGCAGCACGCTACTTCAAAGACGCTGTTGAACGGGTGAGTGGCTGCTTGTGAGGCACCTCAAGAACAACTTCTGAGGCGCCTAAAAGAACTCTGGCCACGTTTTGAGGCGCCTCAAGGGCCGCGATTTGGAGGAGCCATTGACGATGCAGCACGCGACTCCAAGGACGCCGTTGAGCAAGTGAGCACCCATGTGCTGTGCATGCCATCGCATCGAGTTCACACTTTTTTCCGTCTGTTATCATCCACGAAAGCGCTACTCAATCCTGTCCATGTTGCGTTTCCTTCTGAGCCACTCAAATGTCACCACCTGGCATCTCTTGTGGCGCTGTGGGGGGGCCTTTTGCCCATCTCCGCCCCTAATTATATCTACCTTCCGTCTGTATAACATGGCATGCTGCACGATCCATGATGGCATGGCATGGGTGTGCAGGGGCTGAGCCCATACGACTTTGTGGAGGGAATGAAGAGGAAGGGAATCCGTGTTCCTGGCATTGGCCATCGGTACGTGATGTGGCATGGGGGCATGACCTGCCTTATTGCCAACTCGGGTGCTGTGCTGATGTGGCTCGGTGTGTTGTTTTGGGCCTTCTTCTTCTACTGAAGCACGGTGGCATGTCATGTGATGCGACATGCAAGCCCCTATCCTTCACAGTGACCGACTGCTTGTGCTCCGACTGACTCCGATGCTACACAACTCTCCGTCCCATCCCATTCCCACACACTTTGTCGTTTCACATCCCACTCAACTCCCTCCCACCTCTGCAATGGACCAAGCAGCGGCCATGGAAACATACACTCTTACCACTACCACTATCACTCAACTCTCGACCCGAAGCGAAACACAATACTTTTACTGATTCTTTCTGGCCCCTCCACACTCCCAACACCCTCACCAGCATCAAGAGTCGTGACAACCGTGACAAGCGTGTGGAGCTGCTGCAGGCCTACGCGCGTTCCTCCTCCCCCTCAGTGAAGCACATGGACTACGTGGTAGCGGTGGAGACCTACACGCTCACCAAGGCCCCTCTCACTCTACTTCCAACCTCCATCCCTCCCTGACCTCGTCCCCCTGTCCGCCCTTTGCCTTGCCCCTACCCTCTCCCGCACACACCCCCAAACACCCACTCCCACCATCCCCACCCGACCAGCATCAAGAGCCGGGACAACCTCGACAAGCGAGTGGAGCTGCTGCAGGCCTACGCGCGCTCCTCCTTCCCGTCAGTGAAGCACATGGACTATGCCATGGCCGTGGAGACATACACGCTCACCAAGGCAGCCAATCTCGTGCTCAACGTCGATGGCTGCATCGGCGCGCTCCGTCACTCCTTCCCCTCTCCTCTTTCCATCCCCACCTCCCATCCTTAACCCCTATCCCTCCCCCCACGTCAGCATCAAGAGTCGTGACAATCGCGACAAGCGAGTGGAGCTCCTTCAGGCCTACGCGCGTTCCTCCTTCCCGTCAGTGAAGCACATGGACTACGCAGTGGCCGTGGAGACATACACGCTCACCAAGGCAGCCAACCTCGTCCTCAACGTCGATGGCTGCATCGGCGCGCTCTTCCTGGACCTGCTCACGTCCTGCGCCATGTTCACCAAGGAGGAGATTGATGATATCGTGGCTGTGGGGTACCTCAACGGGCTGTTTGTTCTCTCCAGGAGCATCGGGCTCATCGGGTGAGTGAGGCACGACGGTGTGGGTTGTTGGGGCGGTTGAGTGGCATGGCAATTGCCGCGCTCTTCTCTTCCTGGACCTGCTCACGTCCTGCGCCATGTTCACCAAGGAGGAGATGACGACATCGAGGCTGTGGGGTACCTTAACGGGCTGTTCGTGCTCTCCAGGAGCATCGGGCTTATCGGGTGAGACATGATTTTGGGGGATGTTGGCTGATGGCAGAGCCATGCGGTGGGGTGGGTACCTTAACGGGCTCTTTGTGCTCTCCAGGAGCATCGGCCTCATCGGGTAAGGCGTTGATTTCACGTTGTGGGGTTTCGAGGGTGTCAGAGGGTTGTTGGTGATACTACAGCTGTATTGAGTTCCTTCATGGGTTTTTTGTGCTCTTCAGAAGCATCAGTCTTTTTGGGTGAGATTGTTGAATGGTGCTGGTTCTCTCATCGCATACTTGACCATCGGGACGTTGTGCCTTCATAACCCTCATAATTAATTTTGCTGCCACTGCGTTGCATGCCCAACTCTGTTTTACCATGCCTCTTCATTCACCCATCACTTACCTTGTTGTCTGCTCCATGGCCTCCCTCCCATGCACCTCCCTCTCATGCACCCAATGCACCGCCCTCCCATGCACCTCTCCTCGCAGGCACACGTTTGACCAGAAGCGCCTCAAGCAGCCACTGTACCGCCACCCGTGGGAGGACGTGCTCTACACCAAGTGACATCCTTTTTACGATTTCTTAAACAGCACCATGTACTCTTACCTAGCTGCACAAGACGAGCGCCCCCTCCACCTGAGCATCCTGTTTCTGGCTGAATGCCGTTGCATGCATATCGCCTCACCACCCGCTACCAAAGGATGTCTTCTTTCCTGCCCTGAGCAGCACCGCTGTTACCGTATGATTGCAGTCTCTAACCACATAGTAGCACCACACATGTATCTGTGGCAGCAGATCGAGACAAGCTAAAGTATGTATGGTATGGATAGGACCTGCAACCTGGTATAACCCACCTGCATTTTACGTAGGGTAGCGGCATGAGTCGCTGTGTTCATTTGTTCACATTTTTAAAGTGCAGCTGATTCAACCAACTACGGTACATACGATACGGTTTGCTAACCAAAGTGCAAGGAACATCACGGTACCGTAACTGAAATACATGATAAACGGGGCGTTCACATTTGCAGGTACACCCAGTGCATGCATAGGAGTGTGGAAATGGATGGACGGAAGACGAAGTTAAAGAGGAGTGAGGGGTCTGGTTGGGGCCTAGAAGAGAAGAATCTAAGGGTACGTTCCTGGCCAGTGTCAAGCTTCCAGTCATCCACGGATGACCGGAAGTTGGACCCACTTTGGGCCATCCGAGACCAACTTCGGGTCTTCCGGCCAAAAATTGCCCCTGTTTCTGGAAGACCTGAAGTTTGACAGGGAGTTTGACCCAAAGCTTCGGGCCTTCCCGGGAAGGCCCGAAGCTTGACACGGGCCAGGAACGTACCCTAAGAAGCCTGTTTCTCTTTGTTTTTGTATAGAGCAGAAGTACTACAGTAAACCCCAGGATACAGGTCAGTATTTTAATTACTCGTTCCTCTATAGTGGATCGTTTTCGTTTAGAACTAGGAGACGCCGACGGAGCGGTTTTGTCGACAGGGATTTCATAGTTCAAGTGCTCATGTATGTCTCGTCAGGTATCCATGTCGCGGCCATGGCAACATCTAGGCTGGCCCCAGGCAAACTCTCAAGGTCGTCTCGAGTCGACAGCTCACATCAGCAGGCGCATCGCGCTGGAAGATTACTTCCACCGGATTAGACTTATCTCGAAACGGACGGCCCGATCGTGCCTTCTCAGTCACGATTTCGTTCGGATGGTCTCCTGTTCCATGGCAACACGGAATGGGCCCAGACGACACACTCGAAGTCCTGGGATTCACAAGGTTCTGCGACAAGTGAGAATCCTCCAGCAATCTTCAACCCAACCAGACTGAGTTTGATTGGGTGGTGGCATGCTCTCCCATAAACGATCATGGTTCAGTGGCGAAGCCTCCCTTGACTCATGGCAGCAGTACAGCGTCGCATAGCGTCGCATGATAGCGTTTTCGTAAGGACAGCATCCCATTGCTCTCGTAGCCCCGGCTTCCCACTCAGCGATCAGAGTCTCAGGAACTCCGAGTTTAAACTTCAGTTGTCGACTGAGATATCACTACTGCAAGTCAGTGGCTGGCTTCAACCAGTAATAAGCACGTCGACAACAATCTATATCATCCCGACATTGCTTTCGAGATTAGATTCAAGGCTCCAGCTACTCAGACGAACCGTGGTTTTTTTGCGATACGGATGATTGTGGCGAGTCCGCAGATTGTGTCACGGATGATGATGACGATCGCTTGAGTGACAACCGTTTTGGATCAAGCCGACTGCATCGCACGAGACCGTCTCTCTTAATGTAACTCCTAGCTGATCTTCTCTTTTCGGTTTCCGACAAACTAGTTCAGTCGCTCCTGCCCAACTGCTGCCTCCCACGCGGGAGGGACACGTCAGCACAGGGAGGTCATGCTGGATTGAAAGCATTGGAACAGGATTTTGAGAATTGGAAGAAGCAAGTGTGCGTCTCCTGACTTGACCGTTGAGCAAGCCAAGCCTTGCACGGGTAGAACCATCAAAATTGCGTCCTTTGAAAAAGTACTACGAAATTGAAGGAACCAGGGTGGAGGAATCTGTGAATGCTCGAGCTCCTGCATCTGCAGCAGCAGATTTTTGCCTTTCTGGTTATCTTCCTCCTTCCAATCCTGATGCTGTGATTGCTTCTTTTACCACCGAATTGGGTCCCTGTTGAGTCTAGCAGTATGGAAGACAAGGAGCCGGAGCCAAAAAGAGCAGTATCAAAATGCTGTGATTCTGGCGCTGCCAGTATCAAAGAAGAGGAAGAGAAGGAGGTAGATGCTGACATATCACAATTCCTTGAGAAGTTGGACGAGTGGTGGAAGACTCTTGATGCGTTGGAGTTGGCTCTCCCAACTGAGAGCGCTGAACCGGGACAATTCACTGCAGCAAACGGAGCAGCAGCAGAGCAGGCAGTAGAGGAGTTGGAGGAGCGGCTGAAGACTGTTGGGATGCTCTGCTCTGCAGCCCAGATCAACTGGGGTGGAGCGGGTAAGCCTGATGAGGCAAACGGCGGGGCAGCAGAGGAAGCAAGCTCAGGGGTCAGCCCAGAGCCGCGCCAGTTGCTGACTCGAGCGGACATGGTTCACTACTTGGACGAGACGAGTGGATGGGATGCGGATCTGTGTGAGTGCTGCTTTGACCGGGCAGTGGGGCAGCGAGCGCAGCGAGCACTAGGCATCAAGAACCTGGAAGACCTGCGTTGCCACCTGAAAAAGCAACAGCCTCACTGCATCCCCACTGCAGATCCCGAGCAGCAGCACCGGGCCCATTTCGCGTACTCAGCGGTGCAGGGGCTGCAAGCGGGACGTAGAATCCCGCGTGAGGAGCAGTTTGCGTGGAAGGCGGTGAGGGCGCCTCGTCTCTGTGCAGAAGCCATGCTCCTGGAGTGGATGGCTGAGCCTCGTGTGGGCGTGCTCATGGACCTGGGGAGGATCAGATCCCGCCTGCCTGGTATTCTGAATGGGACAAGGGCTTCACGAGATGACTTACCGTCTCCTGCTTCATCTGCTGCTACCGCTGCTGCTGCTGCTGCTGCTGCTGCTGCCCCATCTGGTGTTGCAGCGTGGTCTTGTTGCTGGCGCTGCAGCAGCTGCTGGGCTGCCTACCGCCGTGCTGTCAGCTTCTCAACGTTCCTCGTGCTTGTAGCGAGGTCTTCCCGCTTTGTGACTCTATGGGCAGCTCATTTGCACTTGTTCTCATCTTCCTGGCCTAAGATTGTTGCTGAGCTGGGGGCAGTCAGGCAGGGGGAACAGGACAGGTTGGCTTCCCTGCTCGTGCAGGTTCTCGGGGTGAAGGGAAGTGCTGATCTGAGGGACGGGTTCGGTTTCTTTCTGCAGCATCTGTTGTCAGGCGGGCTGGAGAAGGCGCATGCAGAGGAGATGGGGGAAGGAGGAGACGGGGGAAAGACGGCAGAGAGGACGGTTGCGAAGGGGAAGGGGAGATGTGAGGGGGAAGTAGAAGGTCCTGCAGAGCACACGGGGGGTTGGAGGGGGATGGAGCAGGATATTGGTGGGGGCAAACGAGAGAGAAGGGCCGTGGTAGGGTTGGTGGATGCGTCACATGGGAAGGAAGATAGGAGACACGGAGGGGACGAGGCACGGAGCAAGGTAGAGAACAGAGTTGCGAGCAAGTGCGGGAGGTTGAGGGAGGATGCGAATTGGAGGGAGAATCTGAAAGGGCCGATGTGGAGAAGGTATGTGGATGGCATGTCCTGGATTCTGGAGCATGGAGGGGGGGAAGTGAGGCGGTTCAGGGGCAGCCATTGCAGTGGAAGGGGCAGCAGTAGCACTAGCAGCAGCAGCGGAGGCAGCAGCAACAACGTCAACGGAGTTGCAGGCACCAATACGTGCAGCAGTGCTCCAAGTGGTATGCACGTGACTGGTGTAGGTGCCACCGATTTCGCCCTTGCTGTCACCACAGTGTTATCTAACCCAGAGCACTGGAAGAGCCCAGAGTTGTTCTTTCATGATGGGAGCAACGCGAGCAAAATAGGGATTGAGAATGCAGCTATTCAGGTGGCCCGAAAGAGGCTGGTTCGTCGCATGAAGCAGACAGGGAAGAGGAATATGCCTGGCGGAGCAGGAGCAGACTTACGAGGAGCTCAGCCGGCTATAGCCATCCCTGCAAATGCTAGGCGCGCGTATGCGGATAGGTTGGTGCCGGTCAATACGAACCTTGTGGTTGCTGCGTTCACGTATCGTGCTGGCTGCATCTTGCAGTGGGTCCGAATCTACGGCTTAGATTCCATCACGGAGACACAATGCTTCAAGGACGACCCTCAGAGCAGGGTCCTGCCCATGCGCCACCCGTTCCGAGACCTCCCAAGCCTGCTGGTCAGGTTCGGCGCCATCCCCACGCCTCTGGAGGGAAGCAGCGGGTCACTGGAGTGGGAGGAGTGGCCTGGGGGCGACGAATCTGCTGTAAGGTTTCCTGTGAACCGAAAGGCGAGGTGTTTTGGGCTTGGGATTGTGGAGGAGCGTGGTGGACCAGCTGAGAAGCTGACTCAGCATCCTCCTCAGCGCACGTCTGAAGCAGGAGGGGGCAGCAGCCGTGAAAAGGAGAAAGGTATCAAGGCAGTAGGTCAAGGAGCTAGCCAGGAAGCTCAACAGAGCAAAGCGGGAGGAGGGTCTGAAGCAAGCGGGATCACCAGAAGCGCAAGGAGGAGAGCCTGTAAGGCAATAAGAGCCGGTATAGAAGCTGTTTCAAGCAGGCCGCGTGGGACAGCTGAAGCATCTCGGGCAGACGATCAGAAAGTTACACTGCCCCCGCCCAGAAGGAAGCTTCCTATCGTTCGCTGCGAGGCTGACGTGGATTTCCTGGTGGGGTTTGCCGGGTATATCATGGACCCTCCAGCGTGCACCCAGTGCGGCACATGCTCTGCAGAGTTCATGCAATCCGTGTGCATGGCTGCCCTCATCGCCAACTTTGTGTACCGGCCAGTCAGCCATCTGTTCTCGCGCATGCTCTCAGTCTTCCCGCCCTCCTCCCCTGGATTCAACGAGCTGGTTGAGTGCCTGGAGCTCCCTGGGCAGCTTCCCAGGCCGTTGAATCTGCAGATGCTGCTGAGACGAGCCGAGCAGGTGCCGTTGTACTTTCTCGTTCACATGGCTGTGTGGTGCGCTCGTCCTCTTCTAGGTCTTGCTGGTTTCGAAGGAGGGGAGAGTGAGAAAGGGCAGGGAGTGCAGTCAGGTGCACGGAGGAACGGTAAGGAGGGAGCAGGAAAAGGTGGTAATGTGAAGGTGCAGGGCGGCTGGGATGGTGAGATGGATGAGGCGGGCGGTGGAGAGGTGTGGGGAGAGGTGCGAATGTGGTACTTTGCAGCGATGAAAACGTGGATGTCGAGGCTAGAGGTGGAGGGAGGGGGCGAGGAGTGCAGCGGCAGCAGAGAGCGTGAGAGGCCGCCAGTGGGGTTGGACATCACATGGGCTCTTGCAGCGGCGGTCGTCCCGAGGTACTGTGAGGGGTTGCAGGGGCGGCAAGGGCCTGCCACGGGGAGCAGCACTGCCAGCAGCAGCAACAGCAGCAGCAACAGCAGCAGCAACAGCAGCAGCAGCAGCAGCAGCAGCAGCAGCAGCAGCAGCAGCAGCAGTGAGAGGAAGGGCAACGAGGGGGAGGAGCCGGCTTATCTGAAGGCATGGCCGGGGGGAGTCAATCTGGTGGCGTGTCTCAGAGCGATGCTTCTGGGGGACCCGTGCTACCGCCCTGCCTCCCCTGCTCCAATGTCCACCCACGCTACTGCTTCCACCCACCTCGCTGCTGCTATGTCTTCTCGTCCTGCTGCCTCTTCCACCCCCACTGCAATAAGCATGTGTGCTGCTGCTGCTGCTGCTGCTGCTTCAGATGTCCAAGGCCATGTGTGCGGTGCTGCGGAGTGTGTGGCGGTGGAGGGTGGCGAAGTGAAGCTGAGGAGGTGCGGTGGGTGTGGCAAGGTGGCGTATTGCAGCAGAGAGTGCCAAAAGGCGCACTGGCCCTCCCACAAGCTCACATGCCCTGGCAGTAGCAGCGGGAAGAAGAGAGGGAAGGATGGGAGCAGCAGAGATGGCCGGGTGGACGTTGGCAAGGAGAGTGTTTGTGAGGGTAGTGATGGGAGCGGTGGTATGGAAAGATGGGTGCATGGTGGAAAGATGACTGGCGGGGACAGTTGCATAGGGCGGTGCAAGGAGATCTGGAAGGACAGTGCCGGGCACAGGCGTGAAAGCATACCGGAAGGCGAGGAGATCTGGAAGGAGGGTGGCAAAGTCGAGGGAAGGAAGGAAGAGTGAAAGCATGAGGGAAGGGGAGTGGAGGGAAAGATAGGGGTGTGCAGTAGCCTGTTGATGGTAGGAGATTGAGGGAGAAGAGGGCACAACAGAGACATCACAGACGGGAGAAGTTCAAGGTTTGGTAAACCAAGTGCCGCGAGTTTCTTTGATTTTACCGTATGTTTTATTGCCACCGTAACATGCTGCATAATTGCTTCTTATGTTTCTTAGAGATAAATCAAGCATGACCAACTACAGTCTTATTTGTTGGCCTCACCCGTGTGTAATATGGCAACAAGAGAGCAGCTTGTCAAATGCCGTCACCCACTTTTAATAACCGATATACCAGAAAGAGGCACAACTGTGGAATATTTCTCATTCATCAGTTTTAACAATCTGTTGCTATGATTAGGAAGTACATTGAGCACAAAAACTAATTAGGTGACGTGCGCACCCGCCATCAGCGTCCAGTGATTCCTCTCTGCTGCACCCCAAGCTGACCCTTCGTACCCACTACGTTAAGGAGATGGCGTTTTATGACCCATCAAGCAAGCACCCTAGTCAACACTGGGTTGGTGCGCACATTTAAAACGCATGCACTTATTTAACTGTACAGCTTGATGCGCATGGTAACGGGTGCACGGCATATGGGGCAATTGTTCATCTGCTGACCACACTCCTCACAAGTCTGCCAAGGAGAAAAGGCACATTCGGGTGGGAGGAATGATAAAATTAGTTGCACGAAAATGGGTGCACGGCATATGGGGCAATTGTTCATCTGCTTGCGCACTCCTCACAAGTCTGCCAAGGAGAAAAGGCACATTAAAATAGGAGGCATGGCATGGTAAAAAAGAGAGTTTTAACGCTACAGATGAAAGGCATCACATGGCAGCATACTGAATCTGTGCAAAAACCTGTTGCGGGTGGAGGCAGGAATAACATGCAATACACATGGCTGCACACTCGAAGTGTAAGGCAATGATTTTCAGTACAGTGTATGTTTCTCACTGAGCGGCCACACAGGGGTGCATGCAGCATGCTTCAAGTGAGGCAAGCTAAACACACTTGGTTGTTTAAGTCGTGAGAAAGTATAGGCCTCAACTGAGGAGGGCCTTACCAGGAGCAATGAAGAGTGTGTGGTCCTCACCTAGTGGCCACACTGGAAGGCAGTGTGTTATCAAGAGGCACAATTCATGACCCTATGAACTCAAGAATGTGTGGCCCTCACCTGATGCAGGCGTCACCTGGTGCACACTCCGCACCTAGTTCACAGTCCTCACCTGCTGTACACTCCTCACCTGGTGGCCGCACTGGAAGGCAGTGTTTTTGGGGAACATGAGGCACACCGGGCACTCCGTGCCCGCTCCTGCTGCTGGCCCCCCAGAGCCCGGCGCAGGGTCAGCAGCAGCACTGGCGGCGTTTGCAGTGCTGCCTGCACCATAACCGTACGCAGCAGTGCCATCCATGAGGTTTCCAAAGGGGTTAGGAGCGGTGCTGGGGTTGAAATCTGATGGGCCGAGATTATTGGGGTTGAGGTGCGGGGGCAGGTTGGCAGCAGCGAGGGAGGCAGCTCGGGCCGCTGCAGTATCTGCTGCTCGCACACGCGGAGGGGGCTCCTTGGGGACCGATGGGGGCATGCGACCCACGGGGCGACTGGAGGGCAAGGGAAGACGGGAGGTGGTTGGGAGAGGGGAGTGGAGAGAAGGAGGTGTGTTACCACAGGACCAGCAGCGAGGGAGGCAGCGCGGGCCGCTGCTGTATCTGCTGCTCGCACACATGGAGGGCTTGGGGACCGATGGGGGCATGCGACCCACGGGGCGAATGGAAGGGTGGGAAAGGGGAGGTGAAGGGAAGAGGAGAAAGGGATGCGTGTTACCAACATGAGGGAGGGAGGGAGCAGCAGCGAGGGAGGCAGCGCGGGCCGCTGCAGTATCTGCTGCTCGCACACGCGGTGGAGGCTCCTTGGGGACTGATGGGGGCATGCGAACCACGGGGCGACTGGACGGGAGGGAGTGGGGAGGAGAAGGGGAGAGGAAGAAGAGGGTTGCGGGGAGAGAGGGATGCATGTTATCAACATGCGGGAGGGAGGGGGGGAGGGTGCAGCAGCAGCAGCAGAATCGGCAGAAAGCGAGGCAGTTTGGACCGCTGCAGCAACTGCTGCTCGCACGAGCGGAGGGGCTCCTTGGGGGCCGATGGAGGCATGCAACCCACAGGGCGACTGGAGGGGTGAAGGGTGGAGGCGTGAAGGGGAGTAGAGAGAAGAGGGGAGGGAAGGGGGGGGATTGGAGAGAGAGAAGGCGTGTTACTAACAGGAGCGGCAGAAGCAGCAGCGAGAGAGGCATGTCATGTGCGCATGCAAGGAGGGGGTTCCTTGGGGACTGATCAGGGCATGCGACCCATGGGGCGCGTGGAGGGGTGGTGGAGCGACGCGGAGAGGCAGGTGATGGAGGAAACTAACTCGGGGGGGGAAGAGCGGGGAATGATTGACAGCAGAAGAGAGAGAATGACAGCTGTGGAAACTTGAGAGAGCTTCAACTGGGGCGGTGGTGGGATGTCAAAAACCGATCTTATCCAGCAATAAGACCAGTCAACATGGTTCCATGGTGTAGTGGTCATCACGTTTGCTTTACACGCAAAAGGTCACGAGTTCAAACCTCGTTGGAACCACCTTTTGCCTGGCAGCAAATGACCTCGGCCCGATTTCAACATCGCCTCTGTTCAATCTTCACCCTTATTTCTGCAGCTAGCAATGCTCAAGTATGGCAGTTGCTACACATCAACAGAGCGCTCTCGCCTTCTCTTCCCTGAACCCTATACCCGGAAAACTCTAGTTCACAAGGCGTGGCACCGTGCAGACTCAGTCACTTACTTGAGAATGAACGAATCCAGGCATGACAGAGCATGCAGCAGTTATAAATCCCAGTACTGCAGCGGCACCTCCATGGGCGCCAGGAGGGGAAAGAGCAAAGCGACTGCATGACCCGATTTTTAAATCGACTTAAAAATCGACTTATAAATCCCAGTATTGCAGCGGCACCTCCATGGGCGCCGAGAGGGGGAAGAGCAAAGTGACTGCATGACCTCACGGCACCTTCACAAGCAGCGTTGAGCAACCTGACCCACCCAAAGAGCATGCAAAGGATGGAGGGATAACGCCTGAAAACTCTATTTTAAACTGGCTTTATTCTACCAAGAAACTCACCCCAGCAGCCCCAGCTCGGTGCAGGCGCGGTACTGATGAGGCACCTCCATGAGTGCAGAGAGGGCGAAGAAGGTGGCATTCTATTGACCTCCCAGCGCATAACACAGTTGCCACTCAATTCACCTCAAGGGAGCGAGGGAGCGAGGAGCATGGAGCACCAATGAACTCACCCCAGCAGCCCCAGCTCGGTGCAGGCGCGGTACTGATGAGGCACCTCCATGAGTGCAGAGAGGGCGAAGAGTGCCTCCCGCTGCTCCGGTGCTCGTGATGATGCCATGACCCTCGTGAAGTTGACAAACTGGTGGAAGGGGGTTGGGGAAAGGGAGGAGAGAGGGGAGGAGGGGAAGGGTGGGGAGGAGCATCGTCGTGAGTTTTGAGAGAGAACTGCCCAATGCTCCAGTTTGCGTGGTGATGCGATGATGCGTGTGAAGTTGACAAACTGGGATGCGGGGTGGTGAGTTGAGGGGGTGGACGCAGGAGGGAGGGAGGGAGAGAGAGGCATTTGAAACCGGGACGGGGATGTGCATGGCATGGCATAGCAATGGGATGGCGTCACCGTGGCTCATGAGATGAGACCATGATGCATGAGACCACCGTGATGCATGAGACCATCATGAGGTGACGGCCACACTCACAACACATTGCCCATGACAGCACACTGACAGCACACCGACAGCACACCGACAGCACACCGACAGCACACCGACAGCACATGGCACACGATCCCACCTGGAAGTTATCAAAGTTGCGCTGTGGCAGCGCATCGTCAAACTCCCCCATCTTGTCATGTGCCTCGTGGGACAATGCCAGCAGCACATGGCCACCAAGCAGCACATGGCCACCAAGCAGCACATGGCCACCAAGCAGCACATGGCCCACCCACTAGCAGCTCACACCGCGCTTTCAGCACACGGGCCATCCACCCCACCTGGAAGTTATCAAAGTTGCGCTGCGGCAGAGCATCGTCAAACTCCTCCATGGTGTCCCATGGGCCGTCACCCACCCCCACCATCACTATTGACAGCGCATAGTTGCTGTGGGAGAAAGGGAGGAGGGGAAAAGGGGAGGAGGGACGGAGGGACGGCGGGAGGGAGGAATGGAGGGAGAGGGCAGCATTAGCAAGTGTGATGGCCCGTTACCCACCCCCCCCATCATTATGGGCAGCACGCAGTCGCCGTGAGAGAGGAGGGCCAGCGGGACGGAGAGGAGGAGGAAGGAGGGAAGGAGCAGCGATACAGAGGCAAAGGAAGTAACACTGTGGACAACACAGACTAACCTGGCAGCAACAGAGATCCACCTGGCAGCAACAGAGACCCACCTGGCAGCAACAGAGGCCCACCTGGCAGCAACAGAGGCCCACCTGGCAGCAACAGAGACCCACCTGGCAGCAACAGAGACCCACCTGGCAGCAACAGAGACCCACCTGGCAGCAACAGAGACCCACCTGGCAGCAACAATGGCATCAACAGTGGCCTGCTCCTGTCTGCTGAACACTCCTGGAGGCGTGTCAACGCTGCGAGTGACCTGTGACGGAGGAGGCGGGAGAGCGAGCGAAAGCGGGTGAGCGTGTCGATGCTGTGAGTGAGCGAGCAACCCCCATCATACTCTTGAGCAGCACCATGCCACCACCCACCACACCATGATAGATTTCCTGCTGTAGCTACACACCATGCCACCACCCACCAGAACCCACCAGCACCCATCAAGGAAAGGGACCGCAACACCACCATATGGCAATCGCATCACGCTGTGCCATGCACACCCTGTCATTGCCACACTTCACCCCACAGCACCGCACTGCACCTGGCCATCAGCGATAATGAGCAGCACGTGGTACTGGCCGGCACTCTCCTCCACCGCCCTCACCGCTGCCTCTATCGCCGGGGCGAATGACGTGGGGCCTGCAAGGGGACGGGAGAGGGACGGACGCACAGGGGTTGAGGAGAAAAGAAAAGGAGCTGAGTGGGGAAGTGGGGGGATTGCCGCCTCTCTCCACCACTGCCCGCCACTCTCCTCCACCGCCCTAACTGCCACCTCTATTGCCGGTGCAAATGACGTGGGGCCTGCACGGAAGAGAACAGAGGACGGGAAGGAGGGGTGGACAGGGGATGGGTGCAGGACAGGAGGTAAGTGGAGAGGGTGAGGAGGGGAGTGGGGCCAGGTGTGGGGGAAGGGTGGGAGGAGTGCGGCATGCACTAGTGAGAGAAAGGTTGGGGGGGGTGGGGGGGGAGAGGTTGGCAGGACTACTTTCCGCCACTCTCCTCCACCGTCCTCACTGGCGCCTCTATTGCCGGCGCAAACGACGTGGGGCCTGAGAGGGGACCGGAGGGGGACAGACGCACATGGGTGGGGGAAACAAAAGCAGTTGAGAGCGGATTGGGAAGTGCCGCCTCTCCTAAACGGCCCTCCGCCGCCGCTATCGCTGGAGCAAACGATGTGGGGCCTGAGAGAGGGCAGGCAGGGAACGAGATGAACAAGCCATCCGCGGGCACGAATCCATACAAACATTAATTGCACCACTGCAATCAAACGGGTTTGCATCACTGGAGCGCGTATCACCAGGGCAGAGAAGATGGCAAACATTTTCATTTTCATTTGGAGGCATGGGGTCACTTCATGGTATTTGCAGGCAGGCAGATACCCCCAACCCCCCATTCCCAGGGTAAGCATAGGCTAAAAAAAATGGAGAGTAAGCAACCTCAAATGCCACTGCAGGGAGGGAAAGGGGCAAGATGAAAACAGAGGAAGGGAAACGAGAGATGCAGGGAATCGAGGTTGTAGCCGACGTGGTAACGTGGCACACCTGAGAGCTGCACGAGGGGGGCGATGGCACGGTATCGCTGAAGTGCCTCTTCAAAGCCATTGCACGGCCGCTGCCCCTCGTTGAACGCAAACACTGCCTTGTCATGCGTTGAGACTGGAGAGGGAGAGGGAGGGGTGTGGGGGGCGTAGGTAGCACGCGGAGATGTAGGTAGGGCAGGGGAAGCAGTGAGGGCGCTGCCCCTCGTTGAACGCAAACACTGCCTTGTCGTGCGTTGAGACTGCCATTGAGGTGAGGGGGGAGGTGTCGTGGGGTGGGGGGTAGGTAACATGTGGAGGTGAAGGTAGGGCAGGGGAAGCAGTGAGGGCGCTGGCCCTCGAGCAGTGAGGCGCCTCAAAATGCACCTCACTGCTAGGGGAAGCAGTGAGGGCGCTGGCCCTTAAAGCCCTCGTTGAAGGGGAAGAAGGAGCGGGGACAGCGAGGAAAGTGACTTCAAGAAACAAAATGTACAGCGAGGTGGCAAACTGTGAGAGCGAGGGGAAGCGGGGGGGTTGCGAGAGAGAGGGGAGAGGGAGCAGAGAGAAGGGGGAGGGTGGGGAAGGAAGGGAGAAGGGAGGGAGAGAGATGGTGAGAATGGAAGGCAGAGAGCGGAGGGAGAGATGGAGATAGAGTGGCGGAGAGGAGGAGAGAGTGGAAGAGAGGAGAGGGACGGGGACATACCATCGCCGAAGCCATAGCAGGGAATAAGGTTGTCCTCGTCGAAGGCGGAGAGAGTGTGGCCGATGATTTCAATGGCCTGCTCGTACGGGTTCACCACTCCCGGTGCTATTGCGTGCAGCGACCGCCCATTGAAGCTCTGCTTGCCTGACCCGGGCAGAAGGAGGCGGGTGGGTGGTAGGATTTGGAGAGAGGGAGTGAGTGAGGGAGGGAAAGGTTGAGTTTCGAGGCGAGCATTGAAGATGGAGCGGGGAGGAGATAAGTAACAAGAGCATTGCCTTCAGAGCAGGGTTCAAAAAAACGACCGTTTTATTGAAATTTTACCGTAAAAAACGGTACCGTAAAAAACGGTCGTAAAAAACAGTTTAAAACGGTTCCAGGAGGTGTTTCTTCTATAACTAACAAAACGGCCACTTAGTGGGACCAAATTGAACCCGAAATGCAGCAGCATGAAGGGGACGGACCCCTTCTTGCATGTATGCGCTTGTTGGCATGATTGAAAATGTTTTTGACCTTGTTTTTCTCCTTTTTTTTTGGTGAACAGAGTTCTCTAACAAAAAAACGGCCGTTTTTTTGAAAAATCACCGTAAAAAACGACCGTAAAAAACGGACCGTATTTTACGAAAACCGTAATTTTGAACCTTGCTTCAGAGTATGAGGAAGACTCGTTACCCCCTGTAGGTGGTGAAGAGCATGCCTGCTATGACCATAGCAGGCATCTCATTAAGCTGAGCCTTTTACTCATCGATCCATGCTACACGACGCATGCCAAGCCATTTGAAAGCAATTCAAGCCAGCGGACTAGCAAGCAAGCACAGGAGTAAGGCGGCACGCACCGGTCCACTCAGCACTCACCCGTCCACTCGTTGCTCTTGGTGAAATCAACGGCCACGATGAGGTTGCTGGACTCCAATCCCACCTCGCGCAGCTTCTCCTGCACCTGCACGTGGGTGGGAGGCAGGCAAAGAGCGGCGGTTGGCGAGAAGAAGAAGCAGAGGGTCGGACACGTGAGAGAGGGTTTGTGCGTCAGGGGTAGGGGACGGGGGGGGAAGGGGGGGGGGGGGGGGAAGGAGGGGGGAGAGGAGGGGGGTGGGGAGTGGGGGAGAGGATGGCTGCAGGGGAAACACGGAGAAGTGGAGGGATGGTGGGGAAGGAAGAGACGAATTGCGGGGAGGTGACGTGGCACTGGGACGGGACAAGAGGCATGCCAACGTGCCATCCGAGGATGACGAAGAAAATCTGCCAAGCATGGGATAGGATGAAGTGCAAGCAACCTGTGCACTCGCCACGTGCCCAGCGCGCCTGTGCAATGGACCTGGGCGATGGAGCGGAAGGAACCCCAATACCACCTGCCTGCCTGCTGACTGTCGAGGCAACTAAGGGACCTGTCTGGACGATGGAGCGGAAGGTGTCCGGGATGATGCCGTACTTCTGCTGCAGCGTACCCAAACGACCTGCTCTTGAGCCTTTGCGGGGCCTCAATGGAAGAAGTCCAGATACAACCTGCCCTGTATATCACCTGTCTGTCCAGCCGACGGCGGCGCACCTGCGCGATGGAGCGGAAGGTGTCGGGGATGATGCCGTACTTCTGCTGCAACGCGCGCGTGTACCCGAACGAGCTGCTCCGACTGTACGACTCGCCGCCGCCGCCGCTGCTGACGCCGCCGCTGTGGTGCTGGCACGCGGCGCCGGGGCTGGCGGGACCGGAAAACGCGGGGCTGGAATAAGCGGGACCAGAATATGCGGGGCCGGCAGGCGCGGAGTGCGCGGGGCCGGCGAGCGGGCCGGAGTGGGAGGCGTAGCGGTTGTCGGGGCGGCGCTGGTCGTGGTGCTTGCGATGGTGGCTGCTAGAACTGTTGCCCATAACACGACGGACGGCGCTGCGCGCGGAGAGACCAGTGCGCGCGACGAGAGCGATCCGCGCAGAGAGATCGATGCGCGCGGGGAGTGAGAGAGATGCGTGCGGAAAGAGCGATGAGCGCGCGCGTGTCCGCACGTAAGCGCGTGGCCGGAGGTGGTGGGGAGGGGGAAAGACGGAAGAGGGGAAACGGTAAGTTGGAGGGTGCGAGAGGCGGGACGCGGCGCGCGCAGAGTCAAAAGAGGAGATGGATGGCGGGCGGGGGAAGTAAGAGCCTATGCATCCGATTGCGAGGCGTTGCAAAGCGAAAAAGAGGGAGGGATTACGAGGGAAGTGAGGAGGATCATGATGCCGAAAAGAAACGGACGACAATGGAGGAAACTATTGAGGCGCCTGCATGGAGGCACGGAAGCATGGAGGAAGGGTACTGGCGTATTACGAGCGCGGTGCGCCGGCAGAACTGACCTTTGTTTTTAGGAGCTTGACTGCCGAGCTGGATTCGTGTGGAAAACCTAGGAGTCAGTGGTTTTGTAGCAAGACTTTATGTGCTCCCTCAAAATGCTAGTGCAAACGTATAGTCGAGACTTTACGCAACAGCAGACGGCGACAAGAGTAGCAGCGCAAAGTGAAGTGGGCAAAAAATTGTGTCGAGCGGGTGGGGTAGTGGAGGGGGGGTTGGGGGGGAGGGTGGAAAGTGGGGAAGGCGCGAAGGCTACTACTCCACTTGGATTTTGAAGCACCGAACCCAACCCAACCCAATCCCAGCCCCACAACCCAGATGTGTGGTGGGGATGGGGTGGGGAGGAATTGGGATTCGGGTGAGGGGGTGAGCGGCGGAAGGAATGCGGAACGGTCAGGAAGAGGCTCGAGCAAAATGGAACGCGCGACTCGAGAGTTTGGCACGTGGCATGAACCAGCGGAGGGGAGGTGCGAAGAAGGTGAGGAGATCGAGGGAGGACGTATAGGCGTACTCTGTAAAGGCTGCTCCTTTATCACGACAAAGTCGTAACCGTTGATACAGTGATGGGTGAACTACGTCATAGATCAAACCAAGCGCATACGGAACACAGCCGTGTAGTGTCGAATTGGTTTGAAGGAGCGAATGTTTTCAGCCCCAACGAGTCGCAATGTCCTCTCAAACGAGTCGCGAGAAATTTCAGGTTGTGCATGCGTGTGTGCTGTGGTTCTAGCTCGTTTGACTAGAACCGCTTTGAACCGCAGTACGCACCAGCGTCACACACCGATGCGCTCTTCGGTTGCGTGTTTCCCGAACTGACCCAACACTTGGATGGCAAAAACGTCGTTGAAATCAGCAGCGACCAACTCTGCAATTATTGGAGATCATCACCAACGTCGTCAGTCTACACACAAAGTGTATTTGTGAAATGGCAAGCGCGCCCCGCCGCGACGTCGCTCTACAGTCATGACGCGGCCCGCGAAACCTTCTCATCATGGGCATATCGTGGGCAAAGCAGCGTGCGTTATCGTTACCTTCACTATATAACGCTACGTGGTCATGCTGACAACTTGCATCAGATAATCTTGCATTCTGTCATTCTCAATCAGAGCTACTTATCAGCGACAAGACAACCAGTAAAAGCTCTCATTGACAGGTTCTTATCGTCCCCCAGCCATGGCAAGATTCCTCAATCTCCGGCGAATAGCTCTCTCGGTGATGCTCGTCTGCCTCTCGATGCTCCCCTCCGCATTCGCCGGCCCGGTGCGCGTCGCTCGCACGCGACAGGCGCACGACGAGTACCTCCGTCAGCGAGAACTGAGCGACCGTGAACGAAAACTGACCGACATCGTCGATCGCGGCTCTCGGCCTCCGCTGCACCTGGTCGAAACGAAAGCCAGCTTCGACAAGGAGCACCGCGAGGAGGAGCTCCGCAAACAGGGCGGCGCCGCGTCGGACGGGTCGTCCGCCACTCCCATCCAATACTGGGGCGGTCCCGTGCTGAGCGGAAACACGCTGAATGTTTACTTAATCTACTACGGCTTCTGGCCAAAGCAATCCGCGCAGACTGTGATTGAGAATTTCATTCGGTCGCTGAGTCTAGGAGGCGCCGACGCGCAGGGGGAAGCCGCGGATCCGAAAGTGAGCAGCTGGTGGGCGACCAGCTCGAAATACTACTCGCAGGCATCTGATGGGTCCACGCCCACCGTCAGCACGGAGGTACGTCGTTTCCTCTTCTGCATTGAGATGTTGAATCCTGGGCATGAGTGAAAAGGCACTTCCAAGACGACCAGCGTGGCGTGGCATCCGCAATCAGTAGCTCGGATGCACGTTTTATATGTTCCAGGTTACGAGTGACAGTTTTGGCGAAAAGGCAAATCAAAGGCGAACCTTGAACGCGCTATGGTACTGCTGGATACAAGTGTAGTTAGAGTTTCAGACGAGAATTTCATGGAATTACATCCAAAATCAATTTTCTTCCTTTCTCAGGTGAAGCTCGCGAAGGTCATCTACGACAAAGGGTCGCAAGGGAAGAACTTCAACGCCAACACTCCCTGGAAAGGTGCGCTTGCGTTCCACCGTAGTTGACTTCCTTTCGCTCGTACCTATATCCCGTTCGCTTGCCGACAAACTGTCATGCCACCTACCTCCTTCCGCGATCATTCGTTGCCTACCCAGAATCGTACTAATGTTCTACACCCCCATCATATCGCAGTTGTCAAGAGCAAGATTGGCTCCGGAAAGCCATTCCCCTACGACGCCAATGGCATCTACCTGCTTCTCACGAGCACCAACATCAAGGTCTCTGGCTTCTGCACACAGTACTGCGGGTATCACACGATGGATCGCCTCGGCTCCAAGCCTGTCGCGTATTCCCTCGTGGGTCATCACGGATTATGCCCCGAAAACTGCGGTGCGAAGCAGACTTCGCCCAACGGGAAGCCCTGGCTGGACGCGATGGTTTCGACGATCGCTCACGAAATCGCGGAAGCCGCGACAGATCCCAATGCCAGCAGCGGCTGGTTCGATGCCAACGGGGAGGAAAATGCTGATAAGTGCAGCTACGAGTACGGAGAGACGCAAACAACTCAGAACGTGTATGGTGACGATGCAGAGTACAACTTGGTGGGGCTCAATGGTATGAAGTTCATGGTGCAACAGAACTGGGACGTGGAAACTGACTCGTGCATATCCCAGACGACGGCATAGGGGGTGCGATGATGGACTGTGAAGCTGTCGTGGAGGAGAGAGAAGCAATGTGTAACTTGAAGGAAGGGAACCGGCGGGAGGCATGCGGTAGTTCCAGCTTTCTGGAGCACCTATGCTATGCTTTTGATTTGAACACAGCCGCGCCAGGGCGGTAATGTACCGGTACACATTGGGCACAATAAGCGCCGGATCGTTTGGGACAATAGTCAGGGAGAGTCCATGGTTGTTTATGATGGCAAATAAATAATTGGTCCTTACATGTTTCCAGCAAGCGGCAATCTGGTGGCTCTCCTCCCCTGCACATCCACTCACGTACCTACATCACACTAGCATGCTGGTACCACTGCTTCAGCAACATAGAAACCAAACAAGTCCCACCACCACATCTAGCACCTCACCCCCTAAACACCCAGGAATAGCAAACATTTCACATAACCTTCTACACCAACCACTTCACTCCTGGGTTTCATCATAATTGAATACATCTAGCACCATGATCCCGCCATGACAACCTGGGCCTGCAGCCCGCGCTTTTTGAGCATGCCAGCGAGCGTGTTGAAGGCGGTCTGGCCAATCTTCTTGATCACCGCCGTCACAAACGTGTTGAGCGACCGCACATCCTTCACCCCGCTCACCCCCACGCCCAGCGCCGAGTTGTAAAACTGCACGGCGGAGTCAGTGGGCGCAGCCTTGCACTTGATCCAGTCGAGCAGGTACGTCTTGACGCAGCTGGGGTTCTTCTTGTTGTTGGCCGCCATGAGCACGTAGTCCTGGAAGTTGCTGCTGGCACCGGGCGTGCCGGGGCCCCACACGGCCAGCACGCTGCTGCGCACGTCGCTGGACTGCTGCACGCTGTTCCACAGCGTCTGCGCGCTGCAGTCGTCCTTGACCCACCACTTGTACCACCTGCAGAGGTGGGGGAGGGGAAGGACAGGGAGAGGAAGCGAGGGGGAGGTGAAGGTGGGTCCTTGACGCTGCTCCAGAGCAACTGCAAGCTGCAGTCATCATTAACCTACCACGAAGGCAGGAGGGTGAGAAGCAGCAGCACAAACATCACAGTCAACGCACTATTTGCCAGGATCGCAGTTGTGCAGTTGCATTGGAATCGACCTGCCAAATGACCAACATATTTGGGTGAATTATTTCAAATATGAATCAGGATTCTCACCTGCTGGCGTAGCACGGAGGGGCCTCCGTCTCACAGTTGTCGCACGAGCACACCTGCGCGAGGATCGCGGAGGCCTGGAGCGCGACGACGACGGCGAAGAGGAGCTTAGCGGGAGCCATTGTTGAGAGCAGCACGACGGACGGAGGAATTAGGGTAACCGGAGATAGTATCGCGAAGGACTGCTAGAGCGTACTAGCCGTGCAGCGGGAGAGCAGATGGAAATAGCAGGACAAGTAGTAGAGCAAACAGCTTGCGATGGTTGGATCTGGCGTTGGCTTGGTTCTTATACCCGGACTACTACTCGTGCTACGCCAGGCTGCTATCGGAGAACGGTCGGATCGCAGCTTGCGGGATACGATGTTACGATCCTGCCTTGCTAGCTCGCCCTGCCATGGTAGACTCGGGCGACTCATCCTACGCCTCGCTGTGCGGAATCGTAACACGATGTGCATTGCTGGACACGATAGTTGCTGCGTTGTCTTGCTAGCAGCGAAATCTCAGAGCGGACACCCCGTAAAGCGCGAACTACCGATTCTTCGCTGGCTTTTCCCACCGGGTTGACTCGGCGAGGATGACAGCAGAGCATTGGAGCTCGAGGAGTGGCTTGCCAATAAGACACGAACGGGAGTGCGAGAAAGGAGAGAAAAGGATAGGAGACGAAGAGACGAGAATAGGGCGAGGAGAGGAGAGTGGAAGCAAGGAGCGACAGGAGCGTCAGAAGCAGAGGAGACAGGACTCTACGTGCTCCCTCAGGGCCCAATAGCTAGTTGGTTTGGCTGGTCCCACGGGGTCGTGGGGTATGCGGGTCAAACAGGTAAACAGGAATCTAGGTGTCTGACTCTACCCGCGAAATGCGGCACTGCTGTGTGTGCTGGCATTGATACGGTAGTTGGTAAGTGATTCGCCGAAGTGGTTCGCGAAAATGGATCTTTCTTCAGCACATCATGAGTGAAAAGGAAAATCTAACATATTTTTATTGAACAAACCATATCAATATTGCACATTTCCACAAATATTATATAAAAAATAAGAGTATATGAACTCATATGATCAGACAAACTTAGTCTGCTTAAGGGGAGTTGCCCTAAGGAAAGGAATCAAATTTGTGGCAGTGATAGTGCAATGGGCTTGACAAAACCATATCAATATTTACTACTACAGCTGCACAACGTCAACACATACTGCAGCTCTCTAACGCGCTGTTGTGGGGAGCCCTAAAAAAGCGCAGCTCAAGCACAGAGAGAGCCAGCAGCAGCAGATTTAATTGAGGCATATCTGATAAACGTACGGGGCCGTCTGGAGAACAGTCTGACGAACAAGGGCATTAAAATGAACTATCCTGGACTTCAGAGCAATTTACACAAATCACAGGGTGCACACCACAGCTGACTCTACCTTGATAACCAGTGGCCTTCTTAGGTCAAGGACAGAGACATAAATGGAGGCAACAGGCAAAGTCCTGAAGCAGGCTACGACTTCTGGTGACAGGATATGGGAGAACTGAGGCATAGGAATGCGTTGCTGGTCGCCCAATGAGGTGTACTCGGGCAAAAATTGACAAGGGGGTGACACTTGTGTGATAAAGCGATTGTGGATGAAAATGCCCTGCAGGATGCCTGAGGAACGTAAAGTTCATGAACGAGTGAGGTATGGACTGGAGAGTGCATAATATGATGCAAAGGGGAAGAACGGATAGTGCATGGCATGGCACTCACCTGAAGCCCATGGGGTCCTTCTTGCCCTAGGGCGCCTCGCAACCTGTCTGGAGCGATCTGGCTTAGCCATCTTAGCTGCTAGCTTCAAGTAATTGGTCTGATGCAAAATATCTTACTATCATCTTGTGTCAATTTCTCCCTCCCTCTGCATATCTGAAGCCAATCAAGCTGGTAGGAATAGGACAAGTGGAAGGCGAGCAGGAGGACCTGCCCCTGACCTATCCCTGACCTATCCTTGATCCATCCCTGACCTATCCCTGAGCTATCCTTGATCTATCCCTGACCTATCCCTGACCTATCCCTGACCTATCCCGGACCTATCCCTGACCTATCCCTGACCTATCCCTGACCTATCCCTGACCTATCCCTGACCTATCCCTGACCTATCCTTGATCTATCCCTGGCCTATCCTTGACCTATCCCTGACCTATCCCTGACCTATCCCTGACCTATCCCAGACCTATCCTTGATCTATCCCTGACCTATCCTTGACCTATTCCTGACCTATCCCTGACCTATCCCTGACCTATCCCTGACCTGTCCCTGACCTATCCCTGACCTATCCCTGACCTATTCCTGGCCTATCCCTGACCTATCCCTGACCAATCCCTGACCTATCCCTGACCTATCCCTGACATGTCCTTGACCTATCCCTGACCTATCCATGACCTATCCCTGACCTATCCCTGACCTGTCCCTGACCTGTCCCTGACCTATCCCTAACCTATCCCTGACCTAGACCTGCCCTTGACCTATCCCTGACCTATCCCTGACCTGTCCTTGACCTGGCCCTGACCTATCCGACCTGTCCCTGACCTGTTCCTGACATATTCTTGACCTGTGTCTCACCTTTCCTTGACCTGTCCCAGTCTTTTCAAGTGCCTGCCCCCACCAGTCCTTGACCCATACCAAACCAGTCCCTGACCTTTCCAAGGACTGTCCCTGGCCTATCTCCCACCTGTCCCAGACTTATCCAACACCTGTCCCTGACGTGTGCCTAACCTATTCCGGACCTGTTCCGGACCTATTCTTGACCCGTTCCTGAAATGTTCCTGATCTGTCTCTTACCTGTCCAACCTGCCTCAGATTTGTCCCTTGCCTGTCCCGAACCTGTCCCTGGAGTGTCCCCTCCCCTGTCCCCGATATGTCCCTGACCTTATCTCCGACCTCCCATAGACCTGTCCCTGATCTGACTTGGTCTGTCCCTTACCTGTCCCAGACCTGTCAAGGAACGGTGGGTAAGGTGAGGGGGGAATGGTGGGAAAGGCACAGTAGGAGAGGCAGACGTTAGGGGAGGCAAAACCGTGGCCTGTTTCAGGCCTGACCACGACATGTCCAGACCTGTCAAGGAATGGTGGGAAAGGCGGGGGAGGAACGGTGGGAGAGGCAGACGTAAAGAGGAGGCAAAACCGTGGCATGGAGAGGAGGCTGAACGGAGGCATACCTCTCGGCTCTGCTGCCCTGCTCCCCCACATTGTCCATCCTCTCGTCGTCTTCCTCCCCCTCCCAGGGAGAAAGCAGAAGGGAGAGTAATCGCTGTCATGAGTCACGACTCAAGACCATCTCACGGCAGAAGGAGAGCATGAGAGCCAAGGAGGCGGTGGCAGCAGAGGGGCAATGACAGTAATCTACTCGAAGATGAACCCAGTGCTGCAGCGACACGTTAGCTATCGACTGCATCCACTTATACTTGACAATGGGCAAGGAATGATTTGTAACGCTTGTTAACTGCACAGTGGATACATCCGGCACCATGCATGCCGCCCACATACACATCACACTGACCTGCAGCCTGCAGGCCCAACTGCTTGAGCAACGAAGAAACCTACCCAACCCCCGAGCATCAAAACCCAGGAACACCTAACACAAACTCCAAATAACCACTTGACACGAGCAGCACACAAATTCAACCGTGATTGAATGCGGTACATCTAGCACCATGATCCCGCCATGACAACCTGGGCCTGCAGCCCGCGCTTTTTGAGCATGCCAGCGAGCGTGTTGAAGGCGGTCTGGCCAATCTTCTTGATCACCGCCGTCACAAACGTGTTGAGCGACCGCACATCCTTCACCCCGCTCACCCCCACGCCCAGCGCCGAGTTGTAAAACTGCACGGC